TCTAACTCTAATAAACAAGAATCTTAGTTTCAAGATATACTGTAAACAAGCAAGGATAGTCTTGTGCTTAAATGCTTGTGTAAACATTGGGAATAATTGTTACTATGGCCACAAGCCATACAATAAAATTCCATTTTACAGAAGATTCTTCGTGTAGGTCCTGAATAAGTCATGCAGGGTCTTAACATAAGATACATATAATGTTAAATCATTCAAATTCACTTCTAGTTATAAAAAAGTTAATTTTCTTGATGTTTTCCTTATGATGATAAGTGTCATCGTCATCAGAAACAAACAGAAACACAAATTTTTTCCATGTCATAGATAGACTTGGAATTTAGGTGATCAAAAGATGACTCCAGGTCTGGACTGTTTACGAACGTAATTTTTTTTTCATTAATCATGCTCTACAATTTCATTGTTTGTAATAATTTGTACTAACCTTGGCGGCACGAGTCAGCCTGTCACCGGATTCACCAACACAGATGTTCAAGCAAAGCTTTCTGATATGAAGATTCCGCATTACATTTTTAGAATTATCCTTCGGAACCTTCTTCTCCTTTTTATCTTTCTTCAACGCAGGCGGTGGTACACGCTGCAAATTAACATTATGCTCAGCTTTTAACTTACACTTTTACAAACACAATATTACCTAGGTTATGCCGAAACTAAAAGCCAGGAGGTAAATCTAGAATACGATTATCCACAAAAATAGAATATATGGGATATAAATTTTACTTCAACCCATTGTTTTAAAGATCTAGTCTCGTTCAGTTATTAATTTATAGAATGATTTTCTCGGATTATATTTATACTGAAGAGATGAACACCCACCGCCATGATTACAACTTTTCAAAAAGACAGAGTAGTACAAAGAGAATACAGAACAGACAAATGACTGATGACAGGTGAACACATGGAAGTTGACAAAGTTAGTGTCAACGTCAAAAATAGAAAACTTGAAGCCTAAACAACTTGATTAAATTGGCGATCAACGATTACCTTGATCCGGCCTGAAACTGAACTTTTTAATTCATATTTTAAAGCAGTTAAGAACATAATTTAGTCCACGGTTTTTAGTTTTTGATAAAAAAAAAAACGAAGTTAAATTCTAGATTTAAAGCTCAAGCTGTAGAGCGTGTATAAAGAATTAGATATGTATATCGAAATCCATTTGAAAAAAAAACCCTCAAACTCTAACAAACAGTTTAAAGGGACAAAATATGCGGTAACGAGATGTGTACTGTGTAGTATTGTGCTTTTCTTCATTTTTCGTCCTTAAATCAAATTTCTCTTGAAATGGGGAATGCTGTGTATAAGAGAAACGACCTCTTCACCAATTATATATTTTAAATAATATATTTAATAGAAAAACCAATATAATATATATTATTTTTATAATCTTCATTAAAAATAAAATTTAACACAGTTAATATGTTACTGCCATCTACAGGACAAAGGAGAAACTAATAACAAGCCATCTAGTGGCCGACGCCCATAAACAGAATGCGTTTATGAGGAACGATCTAGCTCGCTTTCTCCCACTCTCTCAAGATCGAGTGGTTTGCGAGACGCTCTCTATTTCGCTGTCTATTTTCTCACTTTCGCTCGTCCTAAATTGTATCTTTTCTTTCCAGATGTAACGAATCTGTCGCGAATTAAATTTTACTTTCAACGCGCCTAAAGAAGTTTCACTTAAAAAATCATCGAATTTTGTTATGAGAATATCTACTTAATGAGTAAGGTGACACCCTGAAGAAAAATATTCTAAAAGCAGATGTTGTCCACAAAAATTTAAATGTAAAAAAATAATCTCTAAATAGTCAAATAATAAAATCGCACTGAGAAAAAAGTTTTAGAACGAATTACACTTATTTATTCAATTAATCCCATCTTCTTAATGCCGGCCACTCACATGCGCATGTGAAGGGCCGTCAAACATTCATTCGCAAACTTAGCGGCTGTGCAAATGGGTTCGGTACTCAATTTGCGAACCCGTTTGCGCTTCCTCCTACACTTGTTTACGAATGTCTCACGAATTTCTCCTCCTTTTTAATTCGTCAATAGAACATTGAAGAGAAAAAGAGTTTTGAATTCTTTCCCAGACATCATTAACAGCCATGCTGTTTTTATGGGATTTCTTTTAATGAAGATATGTACACAGTAGACGTCACGATCTATGAAAATAGCGAAACGTCCGTTGCCTTCGCAATCCTGGGCGCAACTGGTCACACGAATGTGTGGGAGACTACGCGAAGGATCGCGGTTCGCGCGCTTTGATGTCTGTTAAAAAACCGACACAGCTTGGAAAACCACGAATGCAGCGAAAACTTCGCATAATCATTTATTTGCAAATGTCGTCCTACACTTGCAGGTTTGCGTATTCGTGCGAATGTGAGTGACCGGTGTAAGGCAAAGCAATCTTAGAATGAGTGTTAGAAAATTATCCCAACCTTATTGTAAAATTCAGTCTAAAATACAGTCTCGCAAGACTTTGTCAGTGACTATTAGCAAAAGATAGACTGGTGCTTTCAAATTAGTTTCGAATTAGAATCATTTTAAATTTGATAAGCATTCCCTCTTAATTTGACCCTTGTTTGACCTGTAATGTCAGTATCATTTTCCACTCGACACACACCAACGCTCGAAACATACAGATAAAAAACGATTTTTCGATACTGAATGGAATTTATTGACTTCAATTCCGATCACTGATCGCTATTTACAGTAGGAAGCGCATTTTAATAATAGGGATTTTATGACCTGGTTACTAAGACCTTTAAGTCATGTCTTATTTTAATTCATATTCTTATTTTTATAAAAAATTATAATATGAAATGAAATGAAGATAATTAATTTGAGACATTAATCAACTGGGATGAAATTAAACGAAATGAGATGAGATGATATGGGATGAAATATTCTCATTAAAATGATGGTTATTTACTGAGATTTTTCAGTGGACTTTTTGTAGGATCCCGATAAGTTACGTCCAGCGGCTTTGTTTAATTTTCCCACATTTGTGCACTTTCACAGATATTAAACAGCTAATAAATCACCGCTATTACAGATTTAATCCAGAAGAAACACTAAATAAACAAAATAAAACAAATTACACAACTTCACTCCTCGCGTTCCCGCCAAAATGTCTAACGAAAGTGCAACACAGCTGATGCCACAGATTACCTTAAAATAATGACAACTTGTTGTGACACGATCCGGTGTCACTGTCATTTTAAAACTGCAGTTATTTCCACTGAAGTATGAAACCTATATTTCTGACTTCGGTGGCAGTTATGAATCGCGCCATTTAGGTAAGCAACACAACTTTTAGCTTGATCATTCCACGTATAAATATATATTTAATTATTAAAATAAAATTTAAAATTCGTTGTTGCGCAGACGATGTCCCAATCTATCACTTGTTGAGGAGTTTCAAAGCCTAAAGACACCATTCAGAAATTTATGAATAAATGGCCAAGGTAAAAACTTAATACCCGGAGGGTCGTAAGCCCGCAGAATAAGAAAAACTAATATAACAACCCTTATTTTTTAACATTCTTATGCTCACGTCGATATAAATTCGGCTGATCGAAAAATATGCTTTTTTTTATTGCTTAGTTGGGTGGACGAGCTCACGGCCCACCTGATGTTAAGTGGCTACCGGAGCCCATAGACATCTACAACGTAAATACTGCCACCCACCTTCAGATATGAGTTCTAAGGTTTGAAGTATAGTTACAACGGTATCCCACCCTTCAAACCGAAACGCTTTACTGCTTCACAGCCGAAATAGGCAGGGTGGTGATACCTACCCGTGCGGACTTTCAAGAGGTCCGACCACCAGTAATTACGCAAATTATAATTTTGCGTGTTTGATTTTTATTACACGATGCTATTCCTTCACCGTGGGAGTCAGTCGTGAACATTTGTTAAGTACGTATTTCATTAGAAAAATTGGTACCCGCCAGCGGAATTCGAACACCGATACATCGCAAGATACGAATGCACCGAACGACTTTGCCAAAAAAAAATACAGTTTATTGAAGACGATTCAATAAACTGTATTTTTTTTGGTAAACGAATTGTATTAATTTGTCAGTCGTGTTATAAATTATCTTGAGCACAGCTAACTCGGCATTTTAATGAGAAAACAGCACCGTGTGCAAAGAAACGTAACGTCTATGAAGATTGATAACTTTACAAATTATTGCTACGAGACGGTAGTTAACGTAATAATTTAAGTTTGACGAGTAATATCTTAGTCCCAATAAATATAGACGAATACTGAGGTATAGTCATCCTTATTTGACGAAAACAATAATAATTGTGATGTTCGAAATATCAGTATTTTATTAGATACGAAAATACTTTTTTTAAGTAAGCAACTACGACATTACGTTACTTTGTTCAGTCGGTTTTAACAGCTACAAACGGTTTAATTTAATTTGACATACATTGAATTATTATTTTTATTATTTATTATTACCTTTACACTACAGATACCTACGTCACCGTTATATTTAAAAGACAACACAAAATGGAAGCAATACAGAAAACGAAACTCTCAATACCTAAAAAGTATCGACGGTATTATTGTAAAGTGTGCAGAATTTACGCAAACTCAGACGTCCAGTTGAACCAACACTTAGAAGGAATTCGACATCAACACAGAAAAGTAATTTCTCGTTCAAGTGAAACCTGTAAACATTGTACTTTAGACGAAAACCGGTGCAATCTCCTCTTTTATGTTCCCGCTTTTATTATAATTATCATAACGGTTTTTCTTACGTGTCGTTATTGTTTAGTTATGTTTGTCAATTGACCATTCATGCAGCTATGTGTATGTACTTGCGTAGATATATAAAATTAAATCAAGCTGTTTATGGAACCTCAAATTTCGCGCCATTATTTCAATTGGCGGAAAAGTAGTCCCCAAGCGTTCACGGCTTCTATGCGCACGAACGAACGCGCAGAACAATGAGGTAGCAGTTAGCAGCCATTTTATGTCGGTGTTAAGAAAAACATAATTCGAATGGCCAATCTTAACGAAATTGTGTAATTAGTGATATAATTTATGTGATTCCACATACACATCTATAATAGGGCGTTTCGTAACATATGTGAGTAAAAACAAAGCTTAGTTATACATATGTAGCCTTATTATTTAACTTTGGGCGCGAGGAACTCGAAACATTTTGCATAAATAAAGCATAAAAGTTATTGAAATGCCATTTTCGACATAAAAACTAATGATCGTTGGTTGTATTATCAATAAAAATGAGTAGGTATTTGAAGAATGTATTGTGTAAAATTAACAAAAAGTTATTTTTTATAGTCCGCAAATTTTGCAAATTACTTATCTATTAGCTATGAGAAGATTATTCTCTGTTAATGTGACATAACTTTCACAAAATATGTAAATATAGGATTTTTAGTTTTGTTTACATACGAGTTATTGTGTTCGGTAGTAAATTACTTGGCGTTTGACAACCGGCGTCGCGCAGCCTCGTTCTAAAGTTGGGGATAAAATTCAATAGCAAATTGGCCATTTTATTGATGGCCGGGGGGAGGTTGGGTGGAGACGGTTGGTGAGCTTCCGCCATTATATTACCAAGGATTTTTTTGCTTTTCCCGTGTTTTTGTTTACATTTGTTTATCTTGTACAATGTCCATATAAACTTAAACAAATTTACGATATATTATGAATTAATAAATCTGCCTAAGTACGATATTTATTTATATTGTAGTGCGTTTTACCTTAAATACATTTAATTAATATTATTATACGTGTTTGTCTTTATACTTAATTAATATATAAATGCATGCCAAACTACAATTAAGCATGTGAACTATTCACAAATCCTTTTTAAAAGTACCTAGTGAACTTAAAATTGTAATTAGACATAAAGTAGGTATGACAGCATACGTAGTAGGCAGTAAGTAGGTTGGTAGGTATAATGCGTATAGCTTTTGTAAAATCATTTCCATAATTTTGTTTTTGATTAAATGCAAGCATGTTTTTTTTAACTGCATACACTTTTTGTCATATTATAGGTAATTGTAGTTTAGGATTCATACTTAATACCTATAAATGTAAGTAGATATGTACCTATTTTTTTTATTAACGTGATACTTCGAATAAATAATACACGTAAAAAAATTGAAATAAATGATGGCCCTTTACCTACGACTGTTTCTCCAAACTATAATGTTACTATTAGTAATAAATAAATCGGAAAGGAAAATCAAAATTAGGAAGTTAGGGGGAAAAAAGTAAAAACGAAACAATAGGTAATAACTTGATTGCGGTACACAATAAAACTAACAAACAGTAAACCTACATTGTCTTTTCTTATCTTCCTGCAATAACTTTACTAGTATCTCAAATTGTACTTTGGTCTAATTCAACCTGGATGACAGCTATCCTATTTTATGTTACCGAATTGTAATAATAATATACTTATATATTTTTTTTATTAAGCCAATGTACAATAATAATTTTCGAAAAACGAGTATCTACATATTGAATTAATTGTTTTAATTTTGAATAACCGGATATCTATTATTTTCTTTTTATCTTTATCGATCTATGGTGTGATCTATGGTAGTGGAAGCAAGGGTCACTAACTTTTATTAAATATATAGTAAGATGTCGCCACTGTACCACAAATGTGAATTTTAACATTTTAATCTTTTTAATATATTTTATTTTAATACTATTTTTACTAAGCTATAGTAAAAATTGTTTTTCACTTGTATGATATCAACTTCAAGCACTAGTAGCTACAGTGTATAATGTGAACCAAGGCGATCGAAGGCTAACGATTGAAAGAGTGGACGATTCAACGATAATATCGTTCCGAACGAACGAATGCTTATTTTAATTCGCGATCGGCATCTAGGTACCGCAATTATTTAGTTCCTCAAAGCAGACTAAACCGATACGATTGTTGATTCTGAAGTAACTGTTGGATTAGAAACTACATCTATTCAGAGAGCTAGCGAAATTTTGTGAACAATATTCTCGTTTTGGAAAATAAATAACTGATTTTTGTGTTATGTATAATTCAATGTTGTTCACTAACATACATTCAATGTATATAGCTTTAATACCTCCTGGCGGGTATAAATGTTCATCAACATTATCTGTAATTTATTATTACAAATGATTATATTATTAACTAGCGACCCGCCCTCGCTTCGCTTAGGAAACATTAAAACACACATGAAACAAAAAAAAAAAAAGTAGCCTATGTTCATCAGGGACAATGTCGGCTTCTAGTGGAAAAATAATTTTTCAAATCGGTCCAATAGTTTCGGAGCCTATTCGAAACAAACAAACAAACAAATCTTTCCTCTTTATAATATTAGTATAGATTAGTATAGAGTGCCGATTATTATATATATATAAGTACTGACACACCAGGATCCAATGTACTAGTTAACCGAAACACCGTATTTACAATATTTATCAAATATAAACATTAAAAATGTTGAATGAGTTCTGATCAAATGGTAAATCTACCAAGTATATATTTGTTATTCAGGACCTTGTGCGAACAGCGAGAACACCTCCCAAATGAGAAAGGCCGTAAGCATGTGCTCCCCGCCCTGTTCAAGTAGCATCCACTTTAATGGCACTTGGATATTGGTTCAATCCGGTTCAGGTACTTCCAGAAGCAACTATGCACAGTCAGTACTCGCATCAGCCAGATGGTGAGGTTTCGATCATAATCACCCAGTCCCAGAGGACCAGATTAGCTGCCTTTTGGTCTGAGGACCGGCTAAACTATCACGCCTTCGGTACGGAATATCCGTCAATTACTTTTGCGCTCAGATAGCTCTAGAACGGGAACGAACCACATCGCCGACATAGAGGTCTGCTTGCCAATGGTAATTAGCAGCGAGTCCTTCTACCTCTAGGGTCATGGCTCACATTTTCGCCAACGCGAAATCCAACTACTTTCTACACTTAAGGCCAAAGTACTCCAATTGTATTCGTCCACAACGTGGACTCCTCTTTCACGATGTGGGCTTGGTCAAATGATCCTCCTGTACTAGAAACCACAAGGCCTGGGATTTACTAAATGGCAATTATCTTCGACGAGACTCAACCTCTTATATTAACATCGCCGAGTCAACTTCTGGGGGTCCAGTATTACTTATAAGAAGGCGGTGAAGTGTCAGGTCTCTTTTCTTCACATCGATGTTGCTAAACCGGGGAGAAAGGATTTCGCCACCCCACCCTCTCAGAATTCTGTCTCATTACGGGCATCAGTCTCTTTCTTACAAGTAAGCGACGAAGGGTGTTTAATGGATTCACCTCCGAGATTCTACCTCGCCACTCCAACACGTGAATTAATGATACGGAATATCTTCAAACCCACAAAATCCATATTGCAATGTGTGTAAGCATGGGTATAGTATCATTCACCACTCTGTCTGTTTCTGGAATGAAGGTTGGGAAAGTTGTTATAATAATACAATTGAGACTTCAACTTTATGTCTCAAGGTGAAAGTAACGTTTAAGGGCACGAACCGCTACCAACAATACGATACGAACTGAAAAGTGAGTTACTAGTGTAGTGCTAGTGCAACACAGGGAATAATTGTGCATATTAGATACTAGGGAGTACGAAGGAATCAGTTCGGACGTTATTATCGGTTACTTTTTTTTTGTGATTGAAAGATTACTGGTGGCCCGGAGGCCTTTCCAGTTTCACCAGGACAGGTGGGCGAGCAAAGGCTCAGCCAGGAGGGGTGGGATTTGCTAACAACTGCCCGAGCGCCTCCGAAGGAGACCTAACAACTCAAGAGCAATTGCTTCGCAAATGAATCTACTACCGGATCGGAATCGCGACCCACTGAGAAGATCCGACGAGAAACTCAGCGGGCTGATGCATGGGTTAGGTTGCACGTCGACCTCTTTGTCGAGTTCGACGAGCACGGTTACCGGGGTTCCTCAACCTGCTCCTAGTGTTAGAGCTGAAGGTATCTAATGCAAGAGTTATTGGATCGGATGGAACCATCGGTTACTATCGGTCACTGCTAATTACATAAAAAATCAGCGATATGAATAGAAGAAAGTAAGAATAGCAGGTCCGATTGTTAGTTTGAATCGAAAAACGAGCGCTGTAGGTACGCAAATAAATATTTTTATTTAAAAAAAAAAAAAAACGTGTTCATTATAATTGAATAGAGCCGTATTCAGCTTGAGACCTACTTACCTAATCTGGGGAGCTAACAGCTTAGGAATCAGAAAAGTAAGTGAGGAAATGCTTCTTTCTGCGAATAGATAATGGAGTGAAATAGTTGAACTAGTTCGAGAACACTGGGTGCATGTAGGTACATGAAAGTATATTGTATGTTAAATACAAAAAGTATTTTGCCTCGCAGGAGACGGTACACCCTGAATTCTGATGTTCTGTAGTGTGTGCTATTGTAGTATCCAGAACATTAATCTGCCTGCTCCAAAAGTCATTCGGTTTGTGAACCGACGACAAAATGAAGTATTTGTCAGCAACATGTTGACAGAATATAGTGTTCGCTTGCCCATTAGTTTTTGTGCATCGTAGTATTTCGAGACTAGGCGGCAGCTTGGTACGCAGATGACCCCTTTGCTAGTTATAATACAACAAAACTGCATCTTATATGCAAACAAACATGTTTAAAAGAAAAATCTTTTAAAATTATGTTTGACAGAACTTCAACAAATTACCAGAAATTTATACTAAAAAATTATAGATGCATCAGTGGGCTTTCCCCACGTGCGTCTATACTCAAGGATAGATCTTTAAAACCGTCTAAACAACTTACGGATGGTTTATCTCGTCTGGATCTATAACATGTATAATGGGTACCTGCGAACTTAGAAATAATCTTGTCTACAACAAAGTATTTGAAAATCTCATTCAACCGAATTCTCACACTGTAAATTAAAACAAAACCCGCGTGGAGCGAAGCTCTAAAATCCGAAAGTGTATGTAGTAAAAATTTTATAACATTTTATCCTTAATTCTAATGAGTAAGTGAGAACTAAAAGTATCCCCATTTACTAAAATCGTTCAACGAACGAACGATGTCATTATGATACGTAGCTAGTAGGGTGTTAGCCGACCCTATGCCTTTTCCGCGAACTCGCTCCATTTACTGATCGCGGAAGAGCGATGTGGTTGTTAAAAAAGGTGTACTGATACTAGGATTTATTGTAGACAACTTTATACCTACTAAAACAATTGAGACCTACGTTATATTATATCAAAGTGCACATTATCATTCACATTTTGGTGTCTTTGGTAGATGACGGATACCCGATATTCACTTAACATTCAGCGAGTTATGAGCTCGACTTCTCATTTAATAATATGTATTAAAAAATATCATATACTTTTAAAGACTTCTAAAGATGCTTCAAATGTTCCATGTGAATTCTATTACTTTTTATCCCTCGTCTGTCTGTGTGTAGAGTGCCTCCCTTAATACGTTATAACCAGGTGCAATGATTTATAACAAACACTTATGTTCCATATTTTATTTATACAACGAAATAATAAAAGGGTATATAGCATAAAAGTATAAGTATATGTATGGCATAAAGGTACCACGAATCTAAAATGTCAAGTTATCTTCATACCTTGATTATTATAACGTAAGATAGCATTAATTTGCTACGCTAACTATCTACTAATAATGAATGTTTCGGAAAGTTCAATGGTGTTGATTGTTGTGCATAACAAATGATGGTTTGCAATTCAAGTCTCGTTAAATTTTTTTAGAACGAAAAAGGTGACTTGATTCCATTAAACAACTCGTTTTTGAAAATTTATAATTTTAAAGTCGTACAAAACACGGCAGGACCGAATTAAATGAAATGGATTGCGGTCACTTGCCAAATCATTGAGATTCCTTATTTGTTTGGATGAATAGGTAATTGCCAGACCGCTTACGCATTAATAGCTGCAGACAGGGCATGTCGAAGTTTAATCGAATAAAACTAGCCTACCCGTTAGTAGCTGAAGACAGGGCATGTCGGAGTTTAATCGAATAAAACTAGCCTACGCGTTAGTAGCTGAAGACAGGACATGTCGGAGTTTAATCGAATAAAACTAGCATACGCGTTAGTAGCTGAAGACAGGGCATGTCAGAGTTTAATCGAATAAAACTAGCTTACGCGTTAGTAGCTGAAGACAGGACATGTCGGAGTTTAATCGAATAAAACTAGCCTACGCGTTAGTAGCTGAAGACAAGGCACGTCGAAGTTTAATCGAATAAAACTAGCCTACCCGTTAGTAGCTGAAGACAGGGCATGTCGGAGTTTAATCGAATAAAACTAGCCTACGCGTTAGTAGCTGAAGACAGGACATGTCGGAGTTTAATCGAATAAAACTAGCATACGCGTTAGTAGCTGAAGACAGGGCATGTCAGAGTTTAATCGAATAAAACTAGCTTACGCGTTAGTAGCTGAAGACAGGACATGTCGGAGTTTAATCGAATAAAACTAGCCTACGCGTTAGTAGCTGAAGACAGGGCATGTCGGAGTTTAATCGAATAAAACTAGCCTACGCGTTAGTAGCTGAAGACAGGGCATGTCGGAGTTTAATCGAATAAAACTAGCCTACGCGTTAGTAGCTGAAGACAGGGCATGTCGGAGTTTAATCGAATAAAACTAGCCTACGCGTTAGTAGCTGAAGCCGGGGCATGTCGGAGTTTAATCGAATAAAACTACCTGTCGCTCAGCAAAAAGCGTCCAAGCCGATGAGACAATTCAACCGAGGAGGGCAAAGGACAATCTGTACGCGTTTTACACAGAGCGAATGCTTGGCATACCCCTTACCAAGTTATCAATACAATTCTGACAGATAACGTTCCATTTTTCTGTAATGCGTTTATAAGGTCTTTAAGGTTTATAAGGTTTAGGTTTTAGCTTTTAGGTTTATAAGGTTTGTAAGGGTTATAAGGTAAGGAAGCAGTTGCCTCTTTCCTGAGGGCAGACAGTGAACTAATAGAAACTTTCCTGCGTCCGTAGCACAGTGGTGTCTGAGTATTTTTGAACAGTGAACAGTTTTTGTTTTAGGTGGGAGCGGTCAAAAATGGGTGCATTAGACTGAAATCGCCATTAGTTTCCCGGCACATTGGGGCATGGGCGTCGGGGGAGTGGCGCGGGGCGTGGGCGTCCCTGTGCCACCCCCCGGCGACCTACTCGCCACTATCTCAATGTTTGAACAACAGATCAAAGCTGAACCCATGAGGTGAGAATCAAAAGAGATTTAAATTTAAATTAAGCTGTGATAACAGAACAAGCAAGAAACTCCGTCAGTATTTTCTTAAGCTTAGATGGGCAACGCATAGATACTACATGAATTCTGTCCCTTACACCTATATCTTAAAATAATCGATGTCTCAATTCATTTTAAACCTTTCAAGCCGAACTACATGATTGTTGAATAATATCCCATTTATTAACAGAGTTGTCAGTAGGTGGCTACTCGAGCAGGCTGATACAGTCACTAGTTACCGAAATTAATTAATTTATTTTATTTATTTGTTTGGGGAATTTTATTACACACAGGAATTGCTACATCGGAATTGTTAGATGAGGCCGTCAGTGCAAAAGTGGCATAAGCTTATCATAGTTACTAACTACTACCATACTATGGAGGCAATTAGGTTTGAATTTTCATGAATTTGAATTTGAGTAAGCAAAAAAAACAATCTCCCCAAAAATAATGTTTACAAAGCTATCTGTTATCTATGGATGAAACTATGGATAGGCCGGTTTTGCTTACAAATTTATTATATTTAAAAAAAATCAAATATACGTCATATAAGCTTGAATATAAAAAAATGTGGGTTAGGCCACTTTTGCGCTGATGGCCTCAGATATCTGCCTCAAGATCACACTACGAATTCACCAGGTTTATTATAGAGTGGTCTTTGTTTCAGCTTCTACTCTCATCCCCATCATGCCCACTCTGGTCCCCCTTCAATAGTCCGTTCAGACTCAAACCAAGGCATAATCAACATGCATCATCAACAACATCAAGAGGATTCCAAGGATAGCCTCATAGTGCAGCAGCAAGTTCAGCATCAACAGGATCTCTTGGAACAACATCAGCAACAGCAACAGGAAATGCAACAAGATGATGATGTGAGCTATTTTTAAAATGCACAAACACTACTTTTGTTATAAACATTAGATTACATTTATTCACCAGTACAATTTAAAAAAAAATTGATGAAAATTTTACATGAAAGCATTTTTTATGAAAACAATAGTTTTTTGATTTCATTTTTGAATTCGGCTCTGGATTGAATTTCCCTCCACGGTATATACTCCGAATACTATGCACTATATGACATGTTCTTCTTCAAAGGAGGTTTGTGGAAAGTTTTCAATAGTAGGCAGAAGCTTGTCTGTGTCCCAATTGCTGATCTTCATGCGCGAGCATAACCATCAGGTCAGCTGTTTGCCAACCTACGTACGAAGACAATACAAATAAATTCAAGAAGTTTACATATAAATACAAAAGTTTTTGTCAACGTATTTTAAGACTGTATTGGTATAATTTGTAAAGCATAAATACCATATAAGCTTTCAACTGTTTATGCTTATGCTATTATAATACGTACAGGGTGTCCTACTAAGTGTATATCAAGTGTAAGCCATAAACTAAAAAAATACACTACACTACTATGTACTTAAAAAATCCTAAAATTGACACTCATAAGATCCTAAGTGTCGCGCCAATACTTTCCCGAACCCGTAAAGAGTAACAAAAGTAACTTTAATATTGCATCAAAACATTCCTTTTTTCGTCCAAAAGAAAGATAAGAAAGATTAATTTTAAATTTTAAATCTAAGTTCACGTATAAGTCCAATAGCCAGGGCTTTTCGTTTAGTTAATGTATTTTCTATGCGTATACTAACTAGGAACTAGTCTGGACAGAGTTATTGTTCTCTTGTTCACAAGCATTGTACTTACTATATCGAGAGATGATTTAAGCGACATTTTCGCAACTTTACAGGGGAGTCATTTAAAGTTTAAATTTGGAAAAAATATCATAACAAAGAAATTTCTTCCGCTCTTTAAATGAAATAGACTTACTTGAACTTCAGTTAAAAAACATCGAACTAGTGATGCTAATGCCAAATAAAACGCACCTTTAATTATAAAGATAAATGTCGCTTAAACCAAATAGCTTTTCACCCCTCGATATGATTCGTCTGGGTCACCTCGATTAATTTAGTTCTCCCTATCAAAGCCAAAAACGAATTATTCCTTTACTTAAGTATATTCTCCGCATTTTGTAGTTGAGCTTTAAAGGAATGGATGACGATGGTGTAGAAATGGACATGGACAGTCGACAGTGTTCTCAGGTACACAAGCAAATGTTAATTATTGAATTAATTTGTTCCCAAGTTTGAATTTTAAAATGTTCCTTTTATTCGTAACAGGGAATGGGACTGGATATGGGATCGGTACAAACAAAATTGGAAGTGTCAAACGGAAGCGTTCAATCATCGCCACGGTCCAAGCCTCAAGCATGCAAAGTAAGTATAAAAGTGAAATTGTATTAAGGGTTCGATTAATTAACATTATATTTTGTGCAGATTGACTTTGGTTGGTTGTTCTAGATAACTATCGGTGCAAATGATTGTTAGTCATTTACGGACTATAAAAATAATTCCTCATTAAAATAACTTGTGTTTACCCATCAGTGGGCTTAGTGCGAGTTTTTTAACTTCGCGATTATGTAAAAGTTAACTCAAGTTTGTATGGAGTTGGAACAGCGCCCCTAGCGGCAAACGAAGGGAAGCTGTTCCAACTCCATACAAATTTGAGTTTACTGGTGGTATTGAGTGCGCATAGACAACTCACCTTATGAAATTATGTCACTGTATGTATAAAGTGTCCTGACTCGCTAGACGTCAAATCTTCGAATAGTATCCCTGTAATTTTCAATCTAGGCTAGTAATTAACGGGAGTTAGAAATGAGGGGTGGGTAGGCTTTCTTTTTTCGACGATCTGTTAAAAGTCGGGGGAAGCCGCTGGATGCAGGCTACGCAAGACTGGTTGTGGCGAACCTTGAAGGGGACCTATGTCCAGCAGGGACGTAGGTGAACTGAAAAAAAAAACTTAAAAAGTTGAGAAAGATTGATGAAGTAAATCGAAGACTGGTTGGTACAGCTGGTTAATTGGGGGAAAAATAGTTCGCAGTGACCGGATTCGTATACTCGTATCTCCTGTTTAATAGACTGTCATTAGAAATGACATCTTAGTTATCTTGATTTAAAAGATCTATTATATAAAAATTTATTATGTTTTCTTCAGCGATTTTCTTACATGCTATCTTCGGTCCGGTTAAATTTTTTGATACTAGTGGTCCCGCAGTAGTCGAAATTCGACTATAATTAATTGAAATTTTATGTTTCAACATTATTATGGTTCTATTGTCAAACACTATTATACTTCTACAATATAAACACAGATTTCGCCAAACCTGCACTATAGATAAATAATATTAAAGACAAACAATATTATAATCAATTCTCAATTTGACCACAGACTAAACAATAACAAAATAATTTAAAAAAAAATTGCTTTCTGCTCTGCTTCTCTATATTCTCTATAAGTGTGGGAAATTCCATACTCCTCCGTCCGCGTAATTTTCGTAAAAAGGAGTACAAAGTTTTTGCTTCATGTTTTAATATATAAATACTCTCTCTGTTCCAGGTTTGCGGCAAAGTATTATCATCAGCGTCATCATATTACGTCCACATGAAACTTCATTCCGGGAACAAACCCTTCCAATGCACGGTAATGTTTCGCTAATATTCAATGCTCTGTCTGTTCATTTACGGCAGTAAATTGGTAGAAGAGTTTGCTGATGTAAATGATTATAGAAGTGAGATGGAAGTCGTAATATTACCGCTATCCTGTGCGCACGCACGATAGTTCGAGGCATATAAAGAGTAATGGTTATTATTAATAACCCACCCGCGTACTGTTGTGTCATTTATTTTTATTTTTATATTCTAAGCACCCGTGATTTCGCCCGCTACGAAATGCAATTTTATATTAAAACATAAAAGTCGATACAGAAAACGAATTACATAAGGTAATTTTAGGCGATTATACATATACCTGGCACCTGTAGTGTTGGAAGACCAAAACTGGTGGTAGGACGTCTTGGGTAGATACCACCACCTTGCCTATTTCTGCCTTGAAGCAGTAATGCGTTTCGGTTTGAAGGGTGGGGCAATAGTTATAGGTGGCGGAATTTACGTTGTAAATGTCTATGGGCTCCCGTAACCACTTAATATCAGGTAGAATATGAGCTCCTCTGCCGAACTAAGTAATAAAAAAAAAAAAAAAAAATATTCAACCCTAAAGACGTTTTACAGGTATGCGAGGCTGCGTTCTGCCGGAAGCCATATTTAGAAGTGCACATGAGAACACACACCGGTGAGCGTCCGTTCCAATGTGACTTATGTTTGAAACGATTCACACAAAAATCCAGCTTAAATACGCACAAACGCGTCCACACAGGTGAGTTTATCAGATATACCGACAGCCGACACGAGTATTAATAATCGCCATCGATAAATATGCACTTCGAACTACGCGAGAAAACACCGTTTATTTAAATACGATATTGACAGCTCCTCACGTGGCACCAAGCCCCTAGACATAAAATAATTTTTTTTAACATATAAATCTAATTGGGATTTTTCTTTCACATTTTCTATTATTATTTGTTTAAGACGGTATTACGATAACTTATTAATTAAGTCTCTGCCCAAATATAGTTATTTGAAACATATATATATTATTTAAATAAATGTTTTTGAAATCTAAGTGACTGTACCTAATCATGTACATGAAATAGGCGAAGACTTAATTAAGTTTCCAATAGTAAATTGACGTTTTGATCTAATTGATTTTGGTACTCGTGCAGAACAGATATAGACTTATAATTGAATTATTCGCCAACAAAAAGAATAATATTGACTATATAGTACAAAAACGTCACATATTATAATTTTAAAATATGACAATATTTTTGAAGAGAAATTAGCGTTTCTAAGATCTGACTCATATGTAGGTTCCGACGCGGTTCGGAAGTTACTTATTCGAATACAATAACTTCAGAATGTGATGTTAATTCTTAATTTACTATTTTGATGTCGTTTATATGTAATCGAGACACAGGAGTGAAAACACAACAAAATTAACAATAAAAGTATTAATTCTGTTTTCGCCAGAATATCATACTAAATTTATAAGATTGTGCTAGAAGGTCTATTGCTTGTTTTATTGAATTTAATTTCATTTGAAATAGAACTTACATAATAGTTTTATTGGTAAGAAAATACAATATAAAACTATTATTTTAATATTACAATTATTAAAGTCTAGCCTGTTCTCTGCCAGTCCACTTTCAATAATGAAGTAATTTTTTATATTTTTCTCGGTTAATTATAAATTTATATAATTAAATATATTATTAGCTAATGTAATTTCCATATGTTTTTTGAACTTATAAAAAATATATGCACAAAGCTTTGAAAGTCGTTCTTACTTTTGGCATCAAAAACTTAATTCACACATAACCACACGCCTTCGAAAAATGGGATGGAGGTTTAGGATTTATTTGTAATATGTTCGTTCGATATGGAAGTTACATTTCAGTGTTAGTTCATAAAAATGACTTTAGACGAACGGTACCATGAGGGGAATTGTTCTAGAAAAATCCAATATTAAAGTTTTATCAAAACCTCCTCCTGTTTCCGCGTGACCGAGTTAATATTGTTTTTTTTTTTGTTTCGTTATTCACACTTATTTTTGACGCCCTGATATTATTAACACCTTTTTTTTATCTTTTCATCGAATGATTTATGTTGTATTCTGGAGAAAGTATCGATCGGTCATTATATGTTCGCGCATTGTACGTTCGTCGCTTTTGCCTATTAAAGGTTGGTTAATTTAAATGCTGTTATTATAATGATAGCGTGTTGCATGTGTTGTTTTATAAGTTCCGCGTATCTCCGATCCGTCATTTCGAGTACCGAAAAAAAACGTCTTTATAATTAAAACTGCGCTGAAGTAAATTAACTATAAATAGACTTCGGTATAAGGGAATGTGAATAGTTTTTGAGTTGCGTCCAGAGGCCAGTATTAGTTCCTAATAGAAATCAGGGCGTATGGATGTTCTTAGCTATGAAAGGAAAACAGGGGGAGGTGAAGAACTCATAGTTGACGTAAACAAGCGAATTGCAACGAAATCGACTATGGGTTCTTAAATAAAATTAAAAGTCATGCAGAAAAGTGCCTGTGTTGTTGGAATGTGGCCTGGGTTCTAGATGAGCACATGCGCGCGTTGTTGGTGAAGAATCGGCCCTACAAGTGTGATCTCTGTCAAATGGCTTTCACGCAGAGCTCCAGCCTCAACCGACACAAGAAAATACACACGGGTGGGTTAATATGCACAAAGCCGCCACGTGACGCGTCCTATCAATAGCTAATGTCCTTTTAGGCTAGAATCGCCTTCCTTCCTCTTTTGGTTTAAAAGTTTGCAAACGTTATCATGTCATCAACGATAGTTTCATTCAGACGATTGCTGAAGAATTCTCGTGACAATGTGACGTTACGCCTTTAAGCGAATGAGGAGATCGAGGAATATTGCACCCTAGTCTTGTCTATACGTGAAGCAAACTTATGCGTGACGTTAATCCTTGAGGCAGAACGGGAACGATTTCTTACGGTTTTCATGTACCTCCCCCTGAATGTGTGTGAATGGTTTTCATAAATTATATTAAATAATAATAAGACAATTAGTTTGAGAGGGTTGCTTGCTATATCGAAAATCGTATAAATTATAGAGGAGCACAGACGAGCCCTGTTAGAGAAAGTGCGGCCGTACCAGTGCCACATCTGTTTTATGCGCTTCACTCAGAAGTCCAGCCTGGGACGACATGGGAAAATACACACCGGTAGGCCTTTTCCCCTAAAATCCTATAGTAGCATATGAATTTTATATATTTAACGTTAGCACACGTAATAGGCAGCCTCATCGAATGGCAGTGCACAGACCGGGATCGTTGTTGTAGCTGTATTTTGTTGGTATTTCTAGAGGAGCACATCCAATCGCTGATCAACAAAGTGCGCCCCTATCAATGCGACATCTGTGACAAGCGGTTTACTCAGAAGTCCAGCCTTGGCACTCATAAACGTATCCATACCGGTGGGTCCCTTGATATTTCCTTTTGTTTTGTTCGATATCCAAGTCACAGTTGAAAGTTATATTTAAAATAAATTAAAACCCCTACTTCTTTGCAGTTGTGGCTTAGATATCTGATTTGTGAATAGTTTTAAGGGCTCCCATTTTAATTAATATTTTTTAAACGAAGGAATGAATGTTCGCGTTAGTTTTACGTTGATTTGTAGCTGTTTGTCAGACGAAACCTCAGATCGAGTAGGACGGCACGCTCAGAAACTATTCACAAAACTTTTCGAATTAAAGCATGCTGCGTACGTTGTGAGGTTTTCGTTGAGTAGGAAAAAAAATATTTGATGGACAAATAAACGTATCAAATTCCCTCATGGTAGTGAATAATGTAAACTCAATTGGTATGCGGTTGTGGCGACATGTAGAATTATTTGTCCATCGTGGTTTTGTTTTGTTTCTCTGTCCCCTCGTGTCCGTGCGTTGGCGGCGCAGGGGAGCGGCCGTTCCAGTGCACCGTCTGCCTCAAGTCCTTCACGCAGAAGTGCGCGCTCAATTTGCACGAAAAAATACATACGGGTTAGTAGCCCACATATTTGTACTTCGCAACTTCTTCCGGTGCGACTAGAGATTTAAGACCCATCGTGCAGTCACAATCATATCACATTTCGCGCCATGCTTCTAATCCTCGTTTCCGTTGTCCGCCTAACCCGTTATGTCAATCTATCCCATAACCGACAGCATTCCACATGTCGTTGCTTCGAACTAACAATTCCACTAATTCATTACAGCGCGCTTAACGCACTTCTGCATTCGCTGATGATTATCTTATGATTTAGCTTCTCATACATACATGACGATTACCTGACAACTCACCCGTGACACGTGTTTAATTTCGATGATTTTATTATACCATTCTGTCATTTCTTCATGAATATTAATTCTTTCACAAAAGCGGTAATGCAATCGCAATAATGACGCACATTTGGCGCCTCTGTGTCGTACATGGACGCTATCAAAATTGGGTTTACAAAATTGGGGGTGAATCGGTCGTCGGGTGCGACGTGATAAGGTCGAGATTGGCGGGGGCGGGCGGCCAATGGCTCCATGCCACGTGGCGTCGGCGACGTGCGTTACTCGCTTTTGTGTGTGCACTGGGCGCAGTGCAAGGGCGTCCATTCGCGTGCGGGCTCTGCCCAGCGGCGTTCGCACGCCGGCCCTACCTGGACATTCACATGCGCACGCATACAGGCGAGCGGCCGTATCAATGCGACGCGTGTCTCAAGCGCTTCACGCAGAAGTCCAGCCTCAATATACATAAGAGGACGCACACAGGTGGGTGACAGCCGCGGGACGGACTGGCCGTCCGCCCGCCCCCTCCACTCGCACTCAGACTCTTCTCCGAATCTCTCCTCGGTCAGTTCGTTGACCAGCTTTATGGAAGTCAATAATTTATCGAGAGCCGCGGTGTAATAGAGACGAAAGATTTGGAGCTGAGCCCCCGGCGAGCGGCGACCGGTCCGCGCCGCTACCTCCGTAGGGCGAGGGTGTCTAGCGCCCTTGCTGGCTGCAGCCGCTATAATGTATATGTTGGGCACCAGTCCAGGGAAGACCGTTCCAGTGCCTGTCGTGTCCCGCCGCCTTCACCTGCAAGCAATACCTGGAGATTCACACGCGCACCCATACTGGCGAGCGGCCCTATCAGTGCGACATCTGCCTGAAACGCTTCACGCAGAAGTCGAGTCTCAACATACACAAGCGGACGCACTCAGGTACGTGTCGTGCTCCGAGGTCGAGGGAGGTATGAACGCGCGATATGTGGGCTACTAGTGTATACTTTGCGTGTCGTATAGGGTGCGAGTCGCGGGGGAGGAGGGCGGTCCGCGTCTCCCATCAGCTAACGAGTCTATTCGTCCACAGTGCAGGGCCGGCCTTTCCAGTGCTTGCAGTGCCCTGCCGCCTTCACCTGCAAGCAGTACCTCGAGATACACAATCGCACGCACACCGGCGAACGACCTTACCAATGCGACGTCTGCCTCAAGCGGTTCGCGCAAAAGTCAACACTCAACATACACAAACGAACGCACACAGGTATGTAACGTATAACGTGCGCATGCCTAACGTTTATTAATTCTAAATAAATAAAGCACTGTTCATTTTTGATTTAGTTAATTAAAGTAGTCGGTGCCACATCACGACAAGCTTCGTGAATACACTTGACTTTTGTTTAATGATAATTTGTTTTCCTTTTTTTTTTCTATTTCTTTTTTGTTTAATTTGTCGCGTACGCCGGCCACCAGTGCAAGGTCGTCCGTATCAATGCATGGAGTGCCCGGCGGCGTTCACGTGCAAGCCGTACCTGGAGATACACACGCGCACGCACACGGGCGAACGTCCGTTTGAATGCGACGTCTGTTACAAACGCTTCACACAGAAATCGACGCTCAACATACACAAGCGCATTCATACCGGTATGGATTAGCAGAACTGATGACGTCATTAATCTTGTGTGTCCGCTAATTATAGGAGCTTCCCGGTAATGCAAAGTACGATCATGATAATTGCTTTCGAAAGACACATTTACATCGTTGCTTTGTTGGTGAACGGTTACACGAAACGCGTTTCGACTTTGCGAGCATTCACTTGTTCCTTCCTAGCGTTGTGTCAGCACGTTCGGGTACTGTTAAGAAGACGGCAAATTGCGTTAAACAGGTACCCGTGTGAATAGAGATCTCTTGTGAATGATGTTGCACCGACAACTTAGATGTTTTATAGTCATCTCTCGTTACGTCATTTCTGCCATCACTGTGTATCGATAGTTGTCCATCATTATTATAGTACCTTGGCTTTAGATTCATTAATTTTAGATTGCATTAAACTATTCAAAGTGTACGCTGTATATTTTTCTAATAGCATCTTGCCGTCTTTCTAACATTATTAATTTTGCATTAACTTCCGCTTTTTCGTGTGCGTATCTTGTGATTACGTTGCCCGTTGCTTTATGTAGCTGTTGCTTTAAACGCTATTCTGTAGATATCACACAAAAGTTAACTTGAAATATATTTTTCAGGTGAACGTCCTTACGCGTGTGATATTTGCCAGAAACGGTTCGCCGTGAAGAGTTATGTAACGGCTCATAGGTACGTTCGAGAGATTTCGATAGCATAAAACAAAGTCGCTTTCTCTGTCCCTATATCCCTATGTATGCTTAAATCTTTAAAACTACGCAACGGATTTTGATGCGGTTTTTTTTTATAGATAGTGTGATTGAAGAGGAAGTTTTATATGTATCATAACATCCATTAAATAGTGGAGAAATCAATAATAAATTACAGTTTCCGAAGCGAAGCGAGGGCGGGTCGCTAGTAAACTAAAAAAAAAAACTAAAACTCAACTACGCTCTTTTGACAGTATTTTTAAGAAAAATACCGGTGATACCAAATGTTTACACATATTAACTCAATTTCGTATTATTCGATTATAAGTTCAATTCGATATAAGTTCTAAGGTCTCAGTATAGTTACAATGGCTACCCCACCCTTCAAACCGAAACGCATTACTGCTTCACGGCAGAAGTAGGCGGGGTGGTGGTACCTACCCGTGCGGACTCACAAGATATCCTACCACCAGTAATATTGTAAATTGCACACTTTTAATGCTTAAAAGGCGACATCCGCTTGGTTGCTGACAGTGGGCATCATTGCAGGTGGTCCCACGTAGCGGACAAGCCGTTGAACTGCGACCGATGCTCGATGACGTTCACGTCCAAGTCCCAGTTCGCACTCCACATCCGCACGCACGCAGCCGGCTCGTGTTACGAGTGCAGCGTCTGCGGACGGAGCTTCGTCAGAGACAGCTATCTAATACGGTAGAAGTTGTTTATTAATCTTCTATACTAATATATAAATCTACAGTGGATTTTACGGATGTTCCGTTATAACTACTGAACCATGCATTCGATTGACTTGAAACTCGGTATCCATGCAGAAAATACATGTACTTAATGGATAGGCATAGGCTACACCAGTTGCGGGGGCGTTAATGATGAGAATCTTTGTGGGGGTGAGAAATAATATTATTAATTTTAAATGCCCAATGAAGCGGACGGGTACAGCTAGTTACTTATAATAATAACAATAAGGGACTTAATGGCGGGAACGCGAGGAATGAGGTTGTGTGATTTGTTTTATTGGGCAGTGAAGTTTTTTATTTCATTCATGAAAACTAACTCTGTCAAGCTATTTTTTTTAATTGTTTTCTCATAATACAGGATATTTTCATTAAAATAATCTTTACATGAAAACCATAAGTAAGATAATTCAAAAGTTGTCATGTTTTAACCCTTAAAAACTTAACTAAACTAAAAACATTCATGTCTATAAATAAATACGACAGTGTTAATTCCTGGTTCGTAATTTTACATAACCATAGATCTACAGCTCGAGTAGCTAGCTTAGGGACTAGATAATGACCCAAGCACCTCTTTATTCCGAGAAAATGCGTTTCGTTACTATTAATATTTTTATTACAAGTTTAAATAAAACCCGGAAAATGACGTGGCATGTCTATAATATTATGTAGGAAATTGTTTTTAAAAGAATCACCATAAAGATTTGTATATTTGAATCTTATTAACTACCATGGTAATTTTTATTAAAATTGTAGTTGTAACATTTCAAAAAAATATAGTAGTATTAGGACTTTTTGGCGGGAACGCGAGAAGTGAAGTTGTGTGATTTGTTTTATTTTGTCTATTCAGTGTTTCTTCAGGTTTAAATGTCTAATAACGGTGGTTTATTAACTGTTTAATATCTGTGAAAATGCATAAATGTGGGAAAATGAAACAAAGCCGCTGGACGTAACTTCTCGGGATCCTTCAAAAAGTCCACTGAAAAAATCTCAGGAAATGACCACCATTTTACTGATATTATTTTTCATCCAATATCATCTCTTTTCATTTAGTTCATTTCACTCCATATTATCACTTTTCATAAAAATAAGAATAAAATTAAAATAAGACATGAATTAAAGGTCCTAGTTACCAGATCATAAAATCTCTTAAAAAAAAAATTTTGTATTATTTTGTACGTTTCGCAGTCATCACAATCGCGTACACCGCGACAACCACAGCAACATGTCTGCGAACAGCATTGGCATTAACAGCGTCGCCACGAACACAAACAACTCGAACAACAGCAACTACGACTCGCCCGGCGTTTGTGACTTGAGGTCAGCACTCAGTACTCAAAGCGCCCCGACACATCGATACAACATCTCGAACTAAGAACTGTTTGTAATCTGATTTAATTTTCCAGCTTTGTGCCGATGGTGAACCGATACATGACGTCACAGGGAACTCAAGTGTCCATGCAAGACACCCAAAGCAAGATGTCCGCAATGTCCCCGCAATCCATCGCCTCTATATGTAAGTTATATTGCAAGCTTTACGTGCTTTTAATAAAACTTTAATATCTCTTTATTCTCATATTCTTTTTCAATACGATAATAGGCCTCCAGCGATGCAATTTTTGATTAATTTAAAAAAAAAATGTTTTTTCAATATTTTTTAATACATTAAAAAAATTAAGTTTGATTACTCTGATAAAAATTGCTGGTTATTAATAAATGGAGTTCTTTTATTTGAAACTGTAATCCATTGGAATGAAATAAAATTAATCTGCAGTGAAATGATGGGAATTAACGGAGACTTCAGTGGGCTTTATCGATGAACGACAGAAGCGACTTCCAGTGAAATTGTTTAATTTTCCTCGACTAGTGCCCCTACAGATAATGAATGGTCAATCGGCGATCGTCTAAACTAAAAGAAACACTATATATTTACAAAATAAAAAATTATTCAAGTGACATTAATTTTCGTTTCCTTTCGATAAGTTTTGTTTGCTTTAATATTATCAACAGTTTGATAATATTAAAGCAAACAAACAAGGCAAACAAGCAAATAAACTGTGTATACGGGATGTAACGAATCCTTTTCGGTATTGAAGTGATAATTTGCAATTCCATTCATAAACATAATATAATACCTCAACCAATAAGTCTTAAACTGGGCGCTCTCTCCGCCTTTCTATGATGGTAAGTTTTAATTGCTGTGTTATTTTACAACTATGACGTCATTTGTTCTAGCGTCGCCCCCTCCCTCGCACACGCCCACGCCGCAGCCGCAGATGTCCGGCCAGCTGCATCTAGCGGACTGATCCGCGCGACAGGTACGTACCGCGGTGCGCCCGCTCGCACCATAGGGCTGTCCGCACTTACATCCCTTGATAGGATTGACCTTATAAAACTAATGTTTTTGCCTACAAACGCCATGAAATATTTGCAACTCGTGGTTTTAGAAGTATGTACAATGCAATTGCAAGTAGATCTTATAATGTAATATATAATGTCTGGAAAAGCACCCCACGCTTTTTTTACAACAAAATCATTCTTTTCTTACACTATTTTTAATTCAAATTTATTAATTTTTTTTTTATTGTTTTTAGTTGGATTTTCTATAAAAGCGTATTTTGTTAGTTTTTTAAACTATTATTTATTTTTCATCTTTTTAGTTGAATTTCAATTTTTTCAATTTTTTTTAAATATTGCATTGTCATCGGTCTTTAATAAGTATACCAAATTTAGAGTTAATCCGACGTTTTGAAGGGGGTCAAAATCATGTTCAAAAATTAAGCGTATTAATGATCTTATACCAGTGATCGGTAAACCGGGGCTCTGTGACTCCTCGGCTATTAACATTGAATATTGTTGTACTTCGAGTGATGAAAAGCTGTTTGGTTTAAGCGATATTTTTGCAACTTTATAAAGTTTAAAATTTGGAAAAAATATAATAAAAAACACTTCTTAAGCTATATCAATGGAGTAAACTTAATAAAAGTTCAATTAATAACATCGATCTGTTGAAGTTAATACCAAATAAAACTCACTTTTAATTACAAAGATAAATGTCGCGTATTAAGCGAAATGTCGCTTAAACCAACTAGCCTTTCATCCCCCGACTTATTATTATCTTTCCTTGTAAGAGACGAGTCAACATTTTTGAAACACAAAGCTATTAAAATTTTAGTTAAAAAAAATATTACTCTTTAAATTCAAATGTGTGTAAACTATAATTGGCTTTTTTGGTTGACAAGGTTGCCAACCACTGTCCTTGACTAATTAAAACATGTTATAGCTAATAAATACATAAATACTATTTAGAACTGTCATAATTAAATAGACTAATACTGTAAGACGCATCTAATAATAACCACCTCTACGATGACACAAGCGAGCATTACTGACAAAAATCGCAGAGCCAACTATCGATGTTAAGTTAATTGATAAGTTTTCTCGTCTCTATTTCACATTTCTTTTTTTATTTAATAGACACGAGCTTCGTGACTAAAGACGTAGGTATAAAAATAAACATGGCGCTCGGAAGAACATTTCCGTAATAAAAAAAAAATTCTCTTTCAGCCGTCGGGGGAGGGACGGGCGGCACAGTGCACACACTCGGCAGCCTTCAGCAGGAGCAGCTACGTCACGCGGAGCCCGGGGCTCCTCACTTAGAGATGGTCGGCATGGACTCATGCAGTGATTTTTTTTTGTCCAGTTATTTATTTTATTTGTTGAGTTTGAGAGTGCGAATATCGTTAGCACGGGGTGAAGTTGAGTGCGAATCCGGGAGTCGGGTTTCGTTGCGCTTGTGGAATCCCTCGGCGACGGCGGACGAGGACTCGGCTGTAGGGCGCAGCGTGCCGCCTATGACACTGTACATTGTGATTGTACCCGCAACTATGATCTATCTATCCTGTCACGGAGTTCATTTTATCGATACTTAAAACTCTCATCGTTTAGAACGTAGGCCTAAAATTTTTGATCTCATATTCTAATTTGCTTAGTGGTTAGAAATTTTTTCGGGAAATCGTAAATGTAAATCTCCCAACGGCGAAATTCTAAATTTTAATGTTGTCGTACGCTTATTCATCCCCCATTGACGTTTTCATTAGGCGTAGTGGAATGTAACGATATCTTATTGCGATGCTTTAACTTAGAACGTGTCTGTGTATATCGAAGTTCAGTGATTTTATACAAATATTATTACTGTTCACAATGAAAATTAATGTATTTTGATCAGCAAATGTACAGGACCTAATGCGAGACACCATTCACATAAGATAAAAAACTATACGTATACAAAAAAATTCAAGTTTCATGTAATATAAATATATATATTAAAGTAAGTACAAAATAGTACCATAAACGACAGTCCTGAAAGGCCATATTCAAAGGTTCACAAAATTTATGATAATTATATGTTATTGGAGAAATCCAGAGAAGTGCCTGTATGCAACATAAATTGGCAATATTTTATAAATGTATTACGTATGCAGAATAACGTTCAATTTCGGTGTTTTGTGTGAATTCGTATGTGAAATTCATGGCAATAATATTTGTGCGACTATTAGACGTCGGCGAGTGGTTCCCCCTCCCCGCTGCGGGGACGGGCCGCGGAGCTCCTCACTGACTTTGTGCCTTCTAGCGGACAGTGACGTCAGCACGACGTTGCGGTCGCTGTTCTCTGACGTCAGCACGGCGTCGCGGTCGCTGTTCTGTGACGTCAGCACGGCGTCGCGGTCGCTGCTCGCTGTGACGTCAGCACGGCGTCGCGGTCGCTGCTCGCTGTGACGTCAACACGGCGTCGCGGTCGTTGCTCGTTGTGTCGTGAGAGCGTAGTGCAGTCTCGATGTCTCGCCGTGTACGTGAGCGCGTGTTAGATGATAACATTTTTTCCATAAATATTTTTTTCGAATAATAGCGATTACGGTTAGTGTATAGAGCAGTAGTCTTCCAGTACGTTGAGTCAGTACTCGGGCGCGGGAGGGCAGCCCGGCGTCCGCTGCGGGGGTTCCTTTAGGTTTGCCATTGTTGATATCAAAGATAGATTGGTGCCATTTCTGTGTAAATGAAGCGGTAGTGTAAGTTTAGTTAAGTCTGCAGGTCAGGGTAGAACTGGAAATTAAAATTTTTGTAAGGGAAACTATATTCTCATAGTGTATTCACTGGAACGTATACCTTTATTATTGTTTGGTTTAAAGATTTATATAAAGTTTTCCTTTTTAAATTTATTTTCATTCTAAACGTATGTGTCCATGTGCTGGGTCAGAATTGTAAATAAACGGTAGTATTTATTTATTCGAGTTTATCTACAGTTTATTGATGGTGTAAAAAAGTATTATTCGTAGAACTGTCCCCCTTATACAAAGTTTAGTGAACTGAATTTGTAATTGACGTGAGCAATAGTAAACAACTTTGGAAATACAAAATTTAAAAAAAAAGTAGATTATAGGAAGTATACATATAATATTATGATATACATATAGATATCGTTTGATAGTCCTCGATATTTTTTTATATTTTGATAGGTCTGTATATGAAAGGGAAAAAGAAATAACATGAAAAATAGGCCAATATCTTATTATCATTTAACTATATTTGTACACAGTATGTTAAGATAATATAACAGAACGGATGCATTTACTTGCCCTGAATTGTGAAAGTGTAATGTTGAACTATCCCGATTTATGAATTCTTTAATGTCGTAGTAAGTTTCTCTAACCAAGCCATTGATAACAGTATTATTTAGACAAACTAGAACTTGGTTAAAGTTTAGTTTAAAAACAAAAAAAAAATACATCTACCATAATGGACATTACCGTTGAACAACCATAGTTATCAATAGTTTGTATAAATCATTGTCGGTTATCGTGTTATATATTATATTCTATCAATAGATAATAATTGTGAATGCAAATAGGAACACCAACATAGTGAAACTAGGTATGTTATAATGAAATTGAAGTACTTTTAACTTCACACGAGTCGCCGAGACTTATTGTTCCTTCACAACTAACAGTTAATATATTTTGTTATTATATGTTCAGTTTGTATTGTATTGTTTTTATGATCTTTATTAAAATGTTGTTGTCTCGGCGTTCGTACGATAAAATTAAGGACACGTATCGGCCCTACTTGTTTACGAAACAAAACGAATTTACTCTGAACGTATACCTGATTTAATTAGTCTTTATACTTTGGACAATAGGTATATCGCGTAAAAAAGTAGGGCTAAACCTGTACAATATTAGCGGAGTGAAGGAACACAAACTAAATTTAGGGATACCTTCGAGTGTGGCAAGGTTCTGCATACTGATGTTAGTAAACTATATTTACGAAGCCTACAATAGACAGATGTGTGTTATGTACGTTGTCAGTTGCCGGTTATATAAACGAGCCATCTCTTTGTCTACTTAATTACATATGTAGAAAAGACTGAGGAATTCACAACTTAAAATAATACTCACGGTGATCATTGGCGAACTTGTGTATTCGTTGATTTGTTTGACCGTTCGACATCGGTGTGCTTGGTGCGAGTTTTTTAACTTCTCGATCGCGTTAAAGTTAACACAAATTTGTATTTAGTTAGAACAGCTCCTCTACGTTTGCCGTTAAAAAACTCTCGCTAAGCACACAGTGTGCTTAGTGTGAGTTTTTAATGTTCTCGATAGTTAGTTAAGTCGAAGTTAATTCAAATTTGTATACAGTCGGAACAGCGCCCCTAGCGGCAAACGTAGCCAAACGTTCCGACTCCATACAAATTTAAGTAAACTTTTACACTATCGAGAAAGTTAAAAAACTCGCACTAAGCACACTGATCGGTTGTGGTGACGGACCAACCTGCTTTCTTTAATACGTTTTGTTTTGAGAAATCATACATATCTATGTTGGATAAGTACGGATACCTCCAGTGTGGAGACAGACTAGTCTCGGAGCCAGCGGCCTCCGTCAGGTACATTCACTTGAACGCAGTAGTTCTACAGTGAGCCTTGTGTAATCATTAATTGTCTAAGGTACATAAATATTTAGTTATATTGTATCGTTAGATCTATGCGAACTTCCGCTTTGCCAACATATTTGCGTTGCTTATTTTATATAATCAAATGAGAGTACAGCCTAAGGATTTTAACTTTTTTTTAAATTATTAATACTGAGAGCTATTTCTAAGTCGCTGATTTTATACTAAACTATTTATAAATGAAACTAAATTAACGGCTGTAAGCCAAACATACCAAGTTTTGGAGTGATTTACATCCTTTTAATTGCAATTTTAATTAAAAATCTACGAACAAACATCATGGCATGATGATTTATTGTTAAGCGCGGTCATTTAGTTATAGCTCTACAGAGTTTTTAATGACCAATGTTTTACTTAACCGTTTCGTTTATTCATTACGTTAAAATTTTTAGGCTAGTTTATATTCTGAATAAGTTAGGTTTGTTAAACTATGGTGTATTGGATTGCACGTAAACACGATCGCCCTCACAGCCTCCTCTACTGCTGTATGTAGTTGTTTTATAGTCTGATATATTGTGATAGTTATTCTTATTGGTTTGTTTACCTTAAACTAAAAGTCTTTCTTATTGTTTATTGTTATTACTTAAGTATATATCCTTAGCAGTCAGCGGAAACGCAGAGAGGGCTGAGAGAGCATCCAGTAGTCAGCATTATGTATATGCTTTAATGTGATTTTACATGTACTCTTTATATATTAGCCTCTCATAAATCAATGTTATAATTAGCGAACTAACAAGAATTAATTTTATATTTTTTTGTTTATAGTGAGATCGAAATAAAAATTAAAGAGTTTATATTTTAATTTTACAAAAAGTTTACAATTTAAAGTTTATTGTTTAGTGCTCACTTTGCAGAGCTCTAATAAAAAAATAAATATAATTAATTGCAAAATAACAAGTCAAGGTTCTTTTAGAAGTCGCCATGTAGTGGAGAAAATAAACGTGCCATGATATTTGTGGCGAATTTTGTTGTTTAATTTATTTTGGAAAACCTCGTCCCAATCTAGATACATCTTAATAGACCACCACCCATCGATCCAGTGCAGTATTATTGCTATGACAACAATACTGCTCACGCTGCAGATCTGTATTTTTTCTGTTGACATGTTATTGCAGTATCTTCTTTCGGTGTACTAGTATCAAACGACGATAATATACGTGTTCAAACACCGGCAGACCCCAATGTCTTATAATCCTTATATAGGTAAATAACTTTGCATCGTGCCTTTTAATGTTAGTGTTTGAAACTCAGTAAGTTTTTCACCGGATCTTCCTAGTGGGTCGCAATTCTAATCCGATAGTAGATTCAACGACGCACTGCTCTAGCTAAGGCTAGTGTTAGAAAACTCTCGGGTTTACTCATGAGCTCATCAATCCGTGAGTAGGTACATGCCCTTTTGGCTACTAGCGATCAGTGTGCTTAGTGTGAGTTTTTTAACACTCTCGATAGCGTAAAAGTTAGCTCATATTTGTATGGAATGGGATCGTTTGCGTACGTTCGCCGCTAGGGGCGCTGTTCTAACTGCATACAAAAAAGGCATAACTTTTACGCTATCGAGAACGTTAAGAAACTCGCACTAAACACACAGGTAGAGAAAAAATCTGACCCGTTCCTTCATCTATTGGAATCAAACCCTGAAAGTAGTAACTATATCGTAGAAAAACTTTCTTTAATAATAAAATGCAAACTTTACGTGTCTGTGATATTCAACATTTAATAATTCTTGTGCCTGAAGTTAGTCATGCATATCGATTCAGATAAAAAAAAAAGAATTGTCATCGAAACTAAACCTCTGAAAAATTTAACTAAAAGGGACAAAAATAAAACCAGATAGGTAGGTATTCAATGCAAACAAATATTTATTGTAGCCTTTCGAATAGTATCAACAGTCGACTATGACCTCCTCTTTTATTACATTAGAGTCACCCGCGGGCACCAGCGTGGTGTCCACAATCGGTGCTGGACTTTTGAAATACGGATTACTCGCGTAATGCTCCTTCAAGTACTCTCCGCCCATTTCCAAGTAATCCTCTTTAGTAATGCAAAAATTCTCGAAGGCGTTGCTGCTCGCGAAATCTCTAGCTCCGTACCAAGCGTCGAGACTTGGATTTTTCGCCATCACCACTTTGTGAGTTGACTTAAATGGTCTCATTTCAAGTAGCTCCCGTTCTAATCTTTCTTTCAGGCCTGAAATTAAATAATAATAATAAAAACAAATTTTGTAATAGCTCGGTAAATACCTGAATTACAATTTAGATTCAATATGAAAATGCATTAATCTGAAATGGAGTTGGACTGGACACTTAGCAAGGCGAAATTATGAGTATGATAGTGACGAAATGGTGGCCAAAATTAGGTCGTATAGATCTTCTGGCACCTTTAAGACCTAATTTCGATATAGATGGCACCGTAAACCAATTATACGAATCGATCGAACATAATGGAATAAAAAAGGGCTGGCCTGTGCCCAGCAGCAATGAAAAAAAAAAAAAAAAAAAAAAAAACATGCACGGCAAATAATTCAAAATACGGTTACGAAAGAAATATCAAACAGTAATTGGCTTGAAATTTCCAAATGTTGTGTAAAAACGCATACCAACATTTTAAACCACAAAAACAATAACAATTTCTTTTCCATAACATTTAAGTGTATCATTAATTTTTTCAGAAAACTTGAATTTATTTATTCGAAATCAATAATGATCAATTCGTTAGATGACGTCACTGATGTAGTAATTTCAGCAGTTGCAATTAAATTACCTAAACGAAAATAATAATAGAAAAAACGTTACCCGGAAACTGCGAGCTTCCGCCAGTGATAAATACGTTATTGGCTAATAGTAACTGTTCTTCGGGAGTAAAATGCTTGAAGAGATATTCCATAGTTTCTGCAAGACCGGCCTCCAAGTTACCCAACATTGATGGTTGGAACATCAGTTCAGGGACTCTGTATAAAGTAAACCATTTTAGTGACCGACCAAAATTCATCACGATTTAATAAGAGGTTGGTAGCGGAGTCCATGGGCAACGGTAACCATTCACCATCAGGTGGGCCGTATGCTCGTCTGCCTGCAAGAGCAATAAATAAATAAATAAAAAATAACAGCCTTTGAAATACTGATTTATGAGCACAACCAAAACTCATCTTAATTGTAAGAATTAATTACAATAAGAATTGTAATTAATGTGGTATAATTATTCATAGAAATTTGTTTATCTAAGCCGCAACTAGCCGTAGTCACCCGCTTCGCTGCGCATTTAAAAATAACATTATTATTTATTGTCATTATTATTAAGGAGTCCAACACTCATATAAATATTAGCCTATCCATTACGTACATGTATTTTCTACATGGATACCAAGTTTCAAGTCAATCGGATGCATGGTTCAGTAGTTATAACGGAACATCCGTAAAAACCACTGTAGATTTATGTTTATATAGGTAGTATAGATTAGTACAGATCAGCGGTCGGAGAACCGAGGTAAATTACCCCAAATGGGGTAAAATGAAATTTTGTGGGGTAAAATTTTTTAGTTATTGGTTTCTTTTCAAAAATAACATGGGGGTTATATATAATATGAAAGATGCTAAAAAGAAGCGATTTCCTTTTTTTTTGTTCTTCGCTATGGGGTAATATCAACTTACACAAAAGTATTTTGGGGTAATAATTAAAAAAGTTCCCCGACCGCTGGTATAGATAGTGATGTTCTTTTTTTTACTATTTATCTTTTTCCTAATCGTTTTACTATAGTTACCTGAAAGGTTCGATAGCTAGGTGTAGTTGTCTCTCGCGATGCTTGGCCGGTATAGGCTCGTATTCGCGCAATACTTCTTCCAACTCCACAAGGCGCTCGCCGTCCGCTTCGGAATCGGAATCCGCTTCACGACTGATGCTGAATTTTGCAACAATATTTTTTTTGAAGACCCAAATAAAATTCAATTGTAATTTAAATGTATATTTTATGGTTACAGGGACGCATGTATATCTTCGTAAAACGCTCAAATAGAGCTACTACAGTACGATTGTCTAACACTTGTGAACCTTTTGACCCAAATTGGTAAATTTTAATTCGATTATATTATTTAGAAGCCTATTATGAAAATAAGTCAAATAAGTACCAGCATGAGTTACGTTTTACGTTTACATTTTTAAGAGTTTGCCTCTTACGGGTAAAATGAGTAGCTTACAAAAATAAATAAGAAAGCAGGCTTTAATAACAAACCAAACAAAAAAATCAATTTATTTTTTATATTAATAAATCTGGTCAGGATTTTAAGGGAAATTCTTGTATTGTCATTTGTTCATGATACACACGTATCAAAGAATGGAAAGCAGTCGACGTCGCCCCAAACACGTCATTTCGGATCCTCCCGATCCACTACGGTGCTTTTAGGTACTTCAAGCACCGGTCACTGTTCTCGTCGAATCCGTCGCTTGCGACGAAGGGCTCGACGAGTAAATTAACCCTCAGACACAGCCCACTGAGTTTCTCGCCGGATCTTCTCAGTAGGTCGCGTTTCCGATCCGGTGGTAGATTCTGCGAAGCACGGCTCTTGCTAGGGTTCGTGTTAGCAACTTCGTCAGGTTTGAGCCCCGTGAGCTCACCTACTAGTTAAGGTTCCGCTGAAATAGCCTCTCAAGGCTGTCAGCTTAGGTAGGAAAAAAAGGGACGTATACAAAATTTCAAGTAGAAGTTGGTGAATGACCTCTTGTAGGCGTCCCAGTCGGAGTCGTGGTTGCCAAAGTCGTCCCCGGCGGCGGCGAGCCGGGAGATGACGCGCATGCGTTCGGCCGCGGCCGCCGTGCGCCGCCGCACCATGGCCGCGCGCCGCGCCCTCCGGGCCTCGCGCCGCGCCATCAGCTCGCGGTACTGGCAACAGCACAGGCTGTACGTAGAAGGCATTCCTTTGCCGACCTAGTTCTTCTTGTTCTTTATTTTTGGCTCCGGCACGGTTTGTGCATTAGCCAGCGTCAAGTAATACGATTTTTATAATTCGCCAATTTAATTATTTACAGTTGATGAATAATAAAAAAAACGAAGGAAACTTAATCAAATGGCATGAAATTAAATGAAATGAGATGGGATGGGATGAAATATAATCCCAGTAAAATGGTGGTCATTTACTGAGACTTTTTAGTGGACTTTCTGGAGGATCCCGAGAAGTTACGTTCAGCGGTTTTGTTTCATATTCCCACATTTGTGCACGTTCACAGATACTAAACAGTTAATAAACCACCGTTATTACACATTTAAGCCTGAAGAAACACTAAATAGACAAAATAAAACAAATCACACAACTTCACTCCTCGCGTTCCCGCCAAAAAGTCTGCCAAGCTAGTAGTTACAGACGTTTGAAGTTTTAGATTTAAAAAAAAAAAAATACACAGCGTTCGCACGCAAATTGCTGCTAAAATTAAAAGATATCTTTTCTAAATTGCTTTTCTGTCGTCACGGATAATATGTACTTGCCATAAGTTCAGCGGAATAGTATCGTGTAAAAAAATCAAACCCACAAATATTATAATTTGCGTAATAATTACTGGTGGTAGGGTGTCTTGTGAGCCCGTAAGGGTAGGTCCCGCGTTCCTACCTACATATTTCTATTGCAAAGCGGTAATGCGTTTCGGTTTGAAGGGTGGGGCAACCGTCTTACTGTAAAACTAATACATATTATAACTTATTTCACAAGGTGCGTGGCGGCATTTACGTTAGTATCTATGGCCTCCGGTAACCACTTACCACGAGATATACAAGTATAAGTAGAACAAAATAAAATAAAAATAATAATATCAAAGCAGAACAAAATACAATAAAGATTCGTACGCGGATAAGATTCTAAGTAGCAATGGTTCACTGTTGCACAGATTATTATTAGTATTATACTATGGGCAAATAATTCCACAGTCCGCCGCATGTTTGGTAGTCATCGGAACCCATAGATTCCAAGTGGATGGATCACGGCTATCCCTTAAATCGGACGACGACAAGACGGCGGTATACAATATGAGACAATCCACGTCGTAACTTACAAACTTTAATACTGTTACCGTAGATTGGGAGGAATCGGGACCCTTTATAAATCCAACACAAATTTGAGATTAAAACGGTACCATAGTTAATTACACCAATATACACAAAAACTAAAAAAAAACTAGCTTGACCCGATTCACCTTGGCTTTGGGGTGAATCAGGTTACGTATGGGGACAATAGAGTTTTTCGATAGTTATTCGATACCTGTTAGGTAGGTTCCTAACTTTAGGTAATTAGCTTTTTAACATATTTAATGAGTTACAAAACTTTGATGACTAAAACTATTCAATATTCTTAAACACTAAATAAAAGTCATTTTCAGTTTAAAAAAAAGTTAAATCTAACAACTTAACAAAAGTATTGTGACATCGCAGATATGCCCCTATTCTAAACCTAGTCTCTATTCCCCCCAATCTACTGTACCAGAGTAGTTATCTATATATTAATAAGTGAAGCAAAAACTTTGTACCCCTTTTTACCAAAATTGCGCGGATGGAGGATTGTGAAATTTCCCACACTTATAGAGAATATAGAGAAGGAGTGCAGAATGGTAATATTTTAAAAAAAAAATGCATTAATGATACATTAAATCAATAAAAAAACCATTACACACACTACCGTGTATTTGACACACACATACATATACTCTTTGTTTATTGTCAAACTTTTGTTATTGCATAAAGTCCATGGCCAAATTGAGAATGGATTAGTATTGTTTATCTTTAATATAATTTACATATAGTGTAGTCTTGGCGAAATCTGTGATTAAAGAAGTATAATAAATAGCCTTCGGCAATAAAACCTTAATAATGTTCAAACTTATAATTTTCAATTAATTAAAGTCGAATTTTGACTACTGGTCTGGACTAATGGTCCCCATTAGTTTATACAAAAACGTGGCTCACATTCTCACACACCTGTATTGGTTTAGCAAATAAGTTGCGGCATCGTTACCTTGGTTCGCGTGTCGTTGAGCCATATCTGGAAGGCGTCGGGGTCCGTGGGCGGCTGGAACCTGCCGGGCGGCGGGCGCGCGTCCACGCTCTCCTCGGCGTTGGCAGCGGCCGCGATGCGCTGTTTATTCTTCTCTATACGCATTTGCTTGTTCGATATTTGTCTCTGTCGTAAAACGAACAAATTTTTTTTATTGCTTAGATGGATGGATGATCTCACAGCCCACCTAGTCTTAAGTGGTTACTGGAGCCCATAGACATTTACAACGCAAATGCGCCAACCACCTTGAGATATAAGTTTTTTTTATTTTTTTATTGCTTAGATGGGTGGACGAGCTCACAGCCCACCTGGTGTTAAGTGGTTACTGGAGCCCATAGACATCCACAACGTAAATGCGCCACCCACCTTGAGATACAAGTTCTAAGGTCTCAAGTATAGTTACAACGGCTGCCCCACCCTTCAAACCGAAACGCATTACTGCTTCACGGCAGAAATAGGCAGGGTGGTNTACAAGTTCTAAGGTCTCAAGTATAGTTACAACGGCTGCCCCACCCTTCAAACCGAAACGCATTACTGCTTCACGGCAGAAATAGGCAGGGTGGTGGTACCCACCCGCGCGGACTCACAAGAGGTCCTACCACCAGTAATTACGCAAATTATAATTTTGCGGGTTTCATTTTTATTACACGATGTTATTCCTTCACCGTGTAAAGTCAATCGTGAACATTTGTTGAGTACGTATTTCATTAGAAAAATTGGTACCCGCCTGCGGGATTCGAACACCGGTGCATCGCTAGATACATAGATTATCTGTGGCTAGACACTAATTCACCGGACGTCTTATCCTTTAGGCCGCAAAAAACTTCAAATACTGGCTAATACTGGGCGTTAGGAGACCGCTTCCGAAAACGAAGACAGACGATAGTACTAATGACACTTTTGATGATGGAGATATTTAGACAAATGTTGTAAATAAGTAATCGTGCGATCGCGCGAGTCTGCGCCGCGCCGCGCCCGTGCGTTCGTTCATCCGAGCATCAGCCACTTTTGATTTTGTGTTTCATTGCTGGTTTTTTAGTAAAGTAATGTATTTTTATGAAACTATCGTTTCATTTGGCTGTACTAACATGATGGAGTTAATAATGCTAATAAAACGATTTAAAAATATGATTTTTTTAAGTGAAACTTCTTTAGAATCGTTGTGATTTCAAACTCGATGAAACGAAAAATTAAGTCCATAGAGACACAAACACATAATTCAGCCGACTCACAAGAGAGAGGTGGTGCCGTTTTTTTTTTTTTTTTTTTATTGCTTAGCTGTGTGGACGAGCTCACAGCCCACCTGATGTTAAGTGGTTACTGGAGCCCATAGACATCTACAACGTAAATGCGCCACACACCTTGAGATATAGTTCTAAGGTCTCAGTATAGTCACAACGGCTGCCCCACCCTTCAAACCGAAACGCATTACTGCTTCACGGCAGAAATAGGCGGGGCGGTGGTACCTACCCGTGCGGACTCACAAGAGGTCCTACCACCAGTAATTACGCAAATTATAATTTTGCGGGTTTCATTTTTATTACACGATGTTATTCCTTCACCGTGGAAGTCAATCGTGAACATTTGTTGAGTACGTATTTCATTAGAAAAATTGGTACCCGCCTGCGGGATTCGAACACCGGTGCATCGCTTCAACACGAATGCACCGGACGTCTTATCCGTTAGGCCACGACGACTATGCGGACTCTTCGCGGGTAGGTACCACCACCCTGGCTATTTCTGCCGTGAAGCAGTAATGCGTTTCGGTTTGAAGGGTGGGGCAACCATTGTAACTATACTGAGACCTTAGAACTTATATCTCAAGGTGGATGGCATATTTACGTTGTAGATGTCTATGGACTCCAGTAACCACTTAACATCATGTGGACTGTGAGCTCGTCCACCCATCTAAGCAATAAAAAAAAAAGAACAGAGTACAAAATCTTATGGTTTTTTTGTCTCTCCTACCTATGCTGATAGCCTTGAGAGGCTATTTTTGCTTTTCCTTGACGTGTAGGTGAGCTCACGAGGCTCAACCCGGAATGTTGCTAGCACTGGCCCTTGCAAGAGGAGTGCTTCGCAGAATGGTGCTTACCACCGGATCGGAAACGCGACCCACTGAGAAGATCCGGCGAGAAACTCAGTGGGCTATGGGTTAATTTACTCGTCGAGCCCTTCGTCGCAAGCGACAGGTTCGGCGATGACGGTGACCGGTGCTTGAGGTACCTAAAAGCACCGTTAATGGATCGGTAGGATCCGTGATGACGTGTTTAGGGCAAGCTGGGGCAAGGACGTAGCGACCGCAAAGAATTTTCGAAATGTACCTACTTCAACTTTATACTTATAATAATTAGCGTTTAATTTTTTTTTTTTATTTAATTCAGTAACATAAGTGGAAATTTCACTTCACGTACCTGGAGATCTTCAAAGCTTTTGATATCTAAATCACGGATGGCTTCGTCAAATTCATCCGTGTCTCCGTCTTCCATAATTTCCTGTAAGACATAAATACATGCATTTACTCTCATTGTAATAATGGACGGATATATAGAATATATAAATAAGACTGAGCCTTAAAGTACAAAGAAAAGCTAATACAGCAAAGGAGAGGCTGAGATGGTTTAGTCATGTACGTCAAAGTTCACATGATCATGTCAAAATCGAGAGGTAGAGAAAGAGCAGTAGCCTCAATCCAAAAGGTAATGAAGGTCTTACGAAAGATGTACGAGAGCGAAGCAAATGGTGAATGATAGGAAAGGCAAGAAGGTAAATAAAATAAATATCTGAAAGGATATAAATCACAAGATGACCCGTAATCTCATATACATCGTTGTTAGAAACTTGTATATGTATATTGATTATATACTGATTATTACATATACAAGTTTTTGAAGTTATCAATGTATATGAGATTACGGGTCATCTTGCGATTTATATCCTTTCAGATAGTTATTTTATTCATCTTCTTGCCTCTCCTACATTAATTGGACCATGGTCTGCTGAGTCATTTCACTCGCTCCGTGGAAGATCTTTTCGTTGTCGTCTTCCAAAAGATGCAAAGTCACAAACCAAAACAATTAGGGATAATGTTCTTCTCTGTTTGTTGAACAGAAAAACAAACGAACAACTGACGAACTTTTTGTTTTGGAAATGGTAAATAATCTATCAAAAGCCAAAATGTAAGATATAAATATAATTTAAATCATGCTTTAACCGTGATTTAACAAACTCTAGTTAAATTAGGGAGTGAAGAATAATAGCTTCAATAGAAATATTGAGTAGATTTTGATATACTTATGGGTAATAATAGATTACAATAATATATCAGAAGTGTTGTCTTAGACTGATTTTATGTAAATAGTATTCAAAAAAATTAATATTTTTTAACTAACATGTAGTGCCAGCAGTTGGTTTAACTGTTCTTCATCCTCTGCAAGTCTCTCTTCTCTTTTTCTTGCATTAATTTCTAAGAGCCGTTTGGCCATCTCTTTCTTTCTCTCCTTTTGTTGCTCCGCTGCAGAACAGGCAATAGTTATTTCTAATTAACTGCATGGTATATCCATAATTTTACATATTGGAACTATGCTGCATTTCATTATAACACTATTCACTAAACACAAACTTAGTAAAACAAACTTTTGTGTATTTTGATTTACTTAGAAGTGTTACTGAGCTCTTAGCTCACTGGTTTTAAGTGGTGAAATGAGGTTAAAATCTCTATGTGGTTGTGATACAAAATATGCCCTACCAACAGTTTGCTTCAGATTTTTCATTTTTAATTCCTTGTTTAATTTACACATGGAAAAGGATATCCGAATGTAAAATTACAAGTTCAGACATTTGTTAAACATGGTGCAAGGTAACATACTAATTTTTTTAACAATGGTAGCTAACTTTTTTTCCTACCTATGCTGATAGCCTTGAGAGGCTATTTCAGCTTCACCCTAACTTTTGTAGGTGAGCTCACGGGACGCAAACCGGAGAGTTGCTAACACTGACCCTAGCAAGAGCAGTGCTTTGCAGAATCTACCACCGGATCGGAAACGCGACCCACTGAGAAGATCCGGCGAGAAACTCAGTGGGCTACATATAGTAGCTAAATAATGAATGAATTAATGAAAAATTATTAAGGATAGTTGTCAAAGTTTGATTAAATCGATTACTCTTAGGACAACTAATTACAGATGAATTCAGTCTTTACCGGTCAAAGTAGAAGAACTACTTGAGCTTTGTATAACAGGCAATTGAAGTTTCTTCACATTGGCATCGTAGTAATCAGCATTCGCCCATTTCGTGATCTCCTCCTTGTAATCAAGAGCCACCGAACAATGCTCTTGAAGAATCTCTTCCGCTCGAGACATTGTAATAGCGTTCACATGAACGGGATATTTTAATTGGAGTAGTTTGTGTAAGTAGAATATCATTTCACTGCCACCTACAAACATGTGTTAAGAAATCACTCACACTTGTTTTAATTTTCACAAAAAACCTTTGATCCGGTATACATACCTAAGTTTATTCTCCTAGCGTGTTCTGCAATAACTTTTCCTTTTATAACAGGGATTATATGTATGGTATGATATCCACAATTTACAAGTAGCGCTGTGTCACCAATGTCATTCTTATAAAAGCTAAACAGAGAATCCACACCATAACTTACAGCAGGAATACCATAGCCTTCAAATAAAAGTTCTGACATCACTGAAAACAATTATTTTTTTATGTCAATAGTAGTAGCACAGCTATGGTAGACTTAATTTTACAATAATATAACATTATCTTGTAAAGGAGTAATATTGAATTTTTTTGAATAATTTAAAGTGTAGACTTTTTTTATGTCTTTTACATGGTTGATTACATTTTGATCACGTCATCTCGGATCCTCCCGATCCACTAACGGTGCTTTTAGGTACTTCAAGCACCGGTCACCGTTCTCGTCGAACCCGTCGCTTGCGACGAAGGGCTCGACGAGTAAATTAACTCTCAGACACAGCCCACTGAGTTTCTCGCCGGATCTTCTCAGTGGGTCGCGTTTCCGATCCGGTGGTAGATTCTGCGAAGCACGNTTTAGGTACTTCAAGCACCGGTCACCGTTCTCGTCGAACCCGTCGCTTGCGACGAAGGGCTCGACGAGTAAATTAACTCTCAGACACAGCCCACTGAGTTTCTCGCCGGATCTTCTCAGTGGGTCGCGTTTCCGATCCGGTGGTAGATTCTGCGAAGCACGGCTCTTGCTAGGGTTCGTGTTAGCAACATCGTCAGGTTTGAGCCCTGTGAGCTCACCTACTAAAGTTAGGGTTACGCTGACATAGCCGCTAGGGCTATCAGCTTAGGTAGGGAGAAAAAAAAAAAAAACATTTTGATTTGAAGTCATTGCAAGTCCACACAGATGGTACCTCTATCCTAACACCCTTGTTGTTCCTATCAAGTAGCCAAACCGAGAATTAAGCATCTGCTGCCCACCTAACACAATAGCAAAAGACTATGAGAGCCATGTGGCCTTAACTTCAAGGACTGCTTTTAATCACTTTGAAAAATTTATAATAAAACAAAAATAAATTACATTGCCTGCTATAATTAGGAGTGACAAAAGCTTCTGTCATCACAATGGGATGATTAACGGCACCTTCACTGTCTATTCCCAGGTGTGAGAAAATATAATCACAAACTTGTTCCTGCACCTCAAAATGTGTCACTACATTTTTGTCGAACTGAGTTTTTAGCTGAAATCTAATTATTATAATAAATGAATAAATCAGTTACATTATATTTTTATTTAAAACCCTATTTGATACCTTTAACTATGATTCTTTATTTACTTTTTATTTGAAACCAAGGTAAGATTTAATTGCCAGAGGCAGGTACGTGGAGTTTTCGAACTAAACATCCCATCTCTCAATGCCCACTTGACAATATCCACACTACCTGGGATAAGCTACTACTAAATAAGGTCAGAGTTTCATTTAATGCATTAGTAGGTTTTTAGAGTTGTCTTAATACACAGGTGATGGTGCATTCTCATTGTTTTCATAAAACCCACAATCAAACCCCAAACTGGCATTCAAGTGAAATTCTAATTTTATACTTGGCTGAAGATCCCCAATGATACATAGTCTGGTAAAAAAGTTTCTCAATTATGAAAATATAATTTTTATTCTCTATGTAATTTGTAAAAAAAAATTATTCATTTTATAATGAAGATACTTGCCTTACTGCTTCTATATTTATTATGTCATTGCCTATTTGAATGGGTGGCGTTACAGGTGGTTCGGCATCTTTTTTGCACCGATCTTTACGAGGTCTCGCGATAAGGTTTTTAAATATTAAATGAGGCTCTTCAGATATAGACCAGCCTACACGACATTGATACGAACCTAAAAAATGTATGATTTAAATGATCACATAAAAACTTATTTATTTGTAAACTTCTTGTTAGGATAAACTAATTGTAGCTTACCATTGTCTATAATCAAAGGTATATGTTCAAATTTCAGTGTTGGAGAGTATTCGTGAACAACGTCTGGGACAGTTTTATAGTCTTTAAAAATTATAACATTTTCTTCATCCATTTTAGCAGTTCTCGTAGATAATTTCGTGTTTTAATTGTAAATTTAGTATAGCATAGATAATACACTTAATACATAAGATAATTAAAATTTAACCTACGTTTATTCATTAAATTTCAACTAAAAATACAAATGTTTACATCTTCGCTGATGTTATGAATCTATGATCATAAGCATAGATTATACACATATTATAAGTTATGATCATGGATTTCATCTTTTTTTAAAGGTATTTTATGACATGGTAATTAAGACCTTCAGTCAAGTCTTATTTTAATTAGAATGAAAACTTTTCTATATGAAAAACGATATTTTGAAATGAAATGAAGTCGATTAATATGAAATATGGCATGAAATGAAATGAAACGAAATGAAATGAGACGAGATTATATGGGATGAAATATTATTATAATCTCAGTAAAATGGTGGACATTTACTGAGACTTTTCCGTGGACTTTTTGGAGGATCCTGAGATGTTTCTTTCAGCGGCTTTATTTCATTTTCCCAAATTTGTGCACTTTCAAAGATATTAAACAGTTAATAAACCACTGTTATAACAGATTCAAACCTGACGATATACTAAATAGACAAAATAAAGCAAATCACACAACTTCACTCTTCACGTTCCCGCGAAAAAAGTTAGATTTCATGAAGTACGGTACTATGATTCCATCAGTGTATTATCTAAAGATTCACATTATTCCAATTGGAAAAGACGAAGGTACTACATACACCATACATCTTTATCTTTTATGTGCCTTTTTTCCAACCTAATCTTAGAGGGTTAGTCAGCGTAACCTAACGAGTGGGTGAGCTCACGGGGCTCTAACCTGGTGACGTTGCTAACAATAGCCCTAGCAAAAGTAATGCTTCGCAGAATCTATCTCCAGATCCGAAACGCGACCCACTGAGAAGATCCATCAAGAAACTCATTGGACTATGTCTTTGGTTTAATTTACTTGTCGAACCGACAGGATCGACGAGAACGGTGATCGGTGCTACCTAAAAGCACCGTTAGTGGATCGATGGATTATAATTGGCATAATTACTGGTGGTAGGACCTCTTGTCAGTCCGCACGGGTTGGTGGTACCACCTGTTTCTGCCGCGTAGCAGTATTGCGTTTCGGTTTGAAGGGTGGGGTAGCCGTTGTAACTATACTGAGACCTTACAACTTATATCTCTCTTGCGTTGTAGATGTCTATGTGCTCCAGTAACCATTAAGTGGTGGTATCAGGTGGGCTGTGAGCTCGTCCACCCATCTAAGCAATAAAATAAAAAAAGCTTGAAATTTTAAGTACCTACACTATTTATGAAGTGAAATGAACAGAAACTACACTATTTACTATGGAACGGCATTCGATAAAATTGATTAAAAATCAAATCAAAAGGTTGAGTTGAAATGAGATAAAGCTTATAGTCCTTACTAAAATTGTTGTGATTCAATCTGAGGTATCTGGGTTTCAATCGATTTTTTTCTCCCAACTGGCTAGCTTTTCGCTGGTAGTCTAATGGGCTATTCTAGCAACTTTTGGTAGGGTAGGTGAGTTTACAGGCTCAATATGAGAGAATTTGGTAACATTAGCAACATCAAGAACCGAATGCTGGAATAGCTGAATCTACCACCAAAACCACCGTGGGTTCCGTTTGAAGGCTGTGCTGTAACGGCTGAAAGGATAAACTTTACAATCGAGAGTTAGACCTTAATATCTAAAGCCTTTAGGTCTCAAGATCTCAAGGAGCTTAGGTCTCAGGATGAGTGGCGAATAGAAGTAGTAATGGGCTTAAAACCAGGGCCGAGAGCTTGTTCACCCTTACTTGCATAAATATAAAAACGTTACTATCAAGCAAAGTAGCCTACGGGCATGATTGTATCTATGGTCTCAGATAACCAGTAACAGCTTCATCAATATACACCAATAAAATGTTTGCAAAGATGCCGCATGTCAGCGTAGCGTCGTTGAATTATGTTCATAGATTATACAATAACATATATAACTATCATGTCAAAACTGAACTCATCCATGGTCAGAGAACTATGTGCTTGAAATAATTTCAAGTGAATCTTTGCAATAAAATACATATCTTCAACTAATATAAGAACTTTATTCACAATACTGTTTTAATTCACGTATCAACAAATGGCCACTATATAATATTTCTCTACTTAATTTACATCATTTACATGACCTTACGGAATGTGGTCTGGCATGAACAAAATCAAGGCCAAATGGCTACTAATGGATGTACAGTTTTGTGGTTCACACAATAAATAATATTTATCAAATCATAATTAAAACACAATTTTTATACATGTAATATACACAGTAATATTCTATCATATTTCTGAATGGCTGACACTAAAAGTGAAATACAATATTTACTTCAATTGATGTGTTTTTAATCAAGCAATCTACTTTTTATGTTTGATTAAGTTTTATGAACCATAATAGCATATAAGAATTGTTTATGAATTTGTAACAGCATTCTATCAATGTAACAATAGCAACAAATTATATATTTTTTTAATTTACAATGTTATGTCATATAAATTTTATGCCTTAGCTCCGACCACAGTGCCAGCCTGTTTGTCGATTTGTTCCTTCTCCAGTTGCTTGCCGAGATATTCCCTAAAAAAAAAGGAACTAATATACTATCTGACATTCACAAGAAACTTTCTATAGATTTTGTTTATATTATTTTCGTTATATGTCAGCTACTTAATTAATAAATACATAAATAGGAAAACAAGTTTTTTTTTTTTTAATTAGTGCTTACAGTTAATTTTTGTTTTTTTACTGGTTTTTAATTTACATTATTTTTAACATTATCCCCACATTGAGTCATGAAGTTAGTTTCAGCGAAATGCATGACTGCTTCGTAGTATAAAAAGACATGGTGGTGGTATTTTCTCGTTCAGAGTCAGCAAAGGCTGTACTACAAGTATAGATATGGCGTAAATGTTATTTCTCAAAATTAGTACTGTTTTCATACCAGTTGTGAACCATAAGTTTCTGCACGGCGAGCAAGGCTTCGTACCGTACATTCGGATCGTCGTGACTCAGGAGGTACATGACACGTTGTTTACCACCAAGTTGTTCGATGATGCTGTATAATGAAATATTTCGTTAACATTATATTTTACAGCAGGGGATTGTTCATTGTGACGGACTATGGGAGAGGCCTACATCCAGCAGTGGAGAGATACAAGCTTTATGCTGATGATGATGATGATGTTTTACGGCAACTTAAAAACATTAAGTTTACATAACGTAAGTTATGAAAATAGACAAACCACGTTAAGCAGCCAAGCTTGGGTTTCTTCTTGCTTTAGGTGTATAAAAAATATTTTTATAGAAACGTACTGTTTGCCGCGCGGATAGTGGCGCACATATTCTCCGATGTCATAGCAAGCGACGGCGAGTACGACAGGGTCGCGGCTCTTCTCCAGCAAGTGCACCAGGGTGCGAAGCAGTTCCTGACCACGTTCGTTCAAACGAGCCGCGTTTTCGCGCCAGAACTTGGCCGATTTGTGTACCGGGGACCATTCCAGGCTGGAAATTAAAGTATTGGTTTGTTATTTTCTAAACATAGTTCATTAGCGGCGCACCTGTATCTTTCGCATTCTTGATTTCCATTAGCATTGGGGACCACCCAGCATTAGATTTCTTTTTAATGCCCTTGTAGGCAGACGAGCACACGGCCCACCTGATGGTGAGTGGTTACCGTCGCCCATGGACTTCAGCAATGCCAGGGGCAAAACCAAGCCGCTGCCTACCTAAATGTGCCAATGCTCATCTGCTTATTAAAGATCTAAAAAAGGTGTGCATTTCACAGTGATAGAAGTTAAATCTTCATTCTCTCATCTCAAGTTATAAATATTTCTAGTGTCTTTTTCAGTTTCGTTTTGTTAGTCGGCAACAAATATCAGTAGTACCAGATTTTAAGAAAAATATTTAAATTCTATTTTAATTCATAAAGAAATCTTACCGGCCACTCTTTACTTCAGTAGCATACTGATCAAAAGAGCTAAGATCCTGTACGGAAGCTTGTAGACGTTCATTCAAATATTCCACATCATTCATAATGTCCTCATCATCAGAACGCTTCTGTTCAAGGATTGACAGTTGCTTCAGTACCTTGCACTGTACCATGGCAATGCAGTGCTCTTTGGCAACCTAAAAAAGATAATGGTTGTTTTTCATGTAGCATAGATGCACAGACAACCTCACAGCCTACTTGATGTGAAGTGGTTTTCAAAGCCCATGAATTTTACAAAATAAATGGAGTTGCTTTTATAAATGAGGATGAAGACTAAGCAGTTTATCATAAAAAGCTAATATGTAGTTCAATTGGTGGACTTTAAATGGAAAAGTTAAAATTAAACCTAAATATACTTTATTTTTTTACTTATTCCCTATGTTAACTTTATGAACTAGGGTTGTTTCTCCATATTTAGTTATTAATTTAGTCGAATTTTGATTTTCATTTAATAAATTATTTTATTTCATACTTTTTGTTATTTGATTATAAATAAATTAAATTCGTTTTTGTTCCTCTGGATTATAGAATACAACAATTAATAATTATTTTTCTTCAATTTTTTTTTAAACCCTGTACTGAAATAAACATTCTCCTTTGGAAGCTAGGTAGGTTCATATTGGGAAACGATTTCACTACCAACTGTTTTCTTTTCAAAAGCGTTTTATTAAACCCTGCATTTAAATATGTGTTTAATTTCAATAAAATTACCTGTTGATCTTCAGGTTTTTCAATTAAATTCCTGAACACTGCGAGCACAATACGCGTGACCTTCTCTTTAACGGAATCGCTAAGGATATCAGCTAAGATTGGAATAACATTGAACTTGTTCATTTTTTCAGCCAATAGGGGATTGAATGTCAAAACCCAGAGACAAAATACAAGTTGGTATTGAACCTAGAAAGAAAATATAATTGTTATTATAGTTTGCTCATATTGCTAATTGATATAATGAATACTGAATGAAATATTTTTCGGTCACTTTGGACGTGACAAACTTATCATACTCTAGTTTTTTACTATTAAGTGACTAAAATAAATAAAAATGTCGATGCCGAAGACAGTTCCTAGGTTGTAAAAGCGGAATCATTATTTTATTTGATTTAATAAAAAAGTGATGGGCTTTCAGTTATTTAAATTGTAATATGGTAAGTGTTAAATATTTATTTAACACCCCAATAAATATTTGTAATATATTCTTTTTAAGAGGCAACTTACCTGGAAGTTCACTCTGGAGGCCAGAATCGACAGTAAGGTGGATATACCATCGACAGAGAGGAAAGCAAAGCGGTATTCATCGATACGCAGCATCATCTGCAGACACCGGGCCACAGACTGGATATAGTCGTTGTTCTGTTTAAAAACAAATTTAACAATTTATTGATTGCTGATACACCATTTATTGTGTTTATTATTTTTAAGCAATAATCTGTAGTATAATAAATACCCTCTATAGGTGTGAAAACCTATACATTTTTTTTAAATACAATTTCATGATTCTCACATTAGATCATAATTGATACAAATTTTACACAATAATTCTTAATCATTTATTTACAAAAATAATTTTACTCAAAGTAACATTTTTCTTTAATGGATTATGTATGCAATGAGTTCAGAGTAATCGAGTCACAAAGGATTTAAATTATAGCTTTGTAATGATTTGGCCGAAGTTATATGTGATGATATCATTTTGTATTTTTCATCCAGTGTAATGTAGCATATCATATATATTATGTTTCACTAAATATTAAACGGTTTATTTTTAAGATTTTTAAAATTCCCAATCAACTACTCCATTAATACAAATGTTTTGGAAAATTATAGAATCCTTAAATTAGTAAGTTAAAGCACATTTAAATTTTGCCTTCTTTTAAATATCACCAATTTAACTTTTATAAAATCATTTATGTGTACAACATTTATAATATGTGTTAGAAGAATTATACAATTTTTATGTTACATTTATTTTTATCACTAAATAGCATTTGTACAGACTCAAAATTAATAAGCTATAATATACACAAAATTATATAAGATTACGACATAACAATATAGTCATTCACAGTTATGTTAGGACACAAAATTTTTACAGGCAGTTGTTAGTATTTTTTGTTACAAAATTTACACAAGGATATTGGCGCCGATATCTACATGTTACACAGAATACCTTATGCAGGCCAGGCGGCAAGTCCTCATGCGGTTTTAGCTCGTCAAAAGAGCTGTAAAGGCTCGAATATTTTTCATTTCCTGCATCAGAATGATGAGCCTTCTCCTTGTGATGTTTGTGTTTATCAGAGAACTTTTCTTTTTCATGCTCCAACATAACCTGCTCAGCATGCTCTAACTCAGCTGTCATTTCCTCGGCCTTCCCAGAAAACAAACCCTTTCAATGACATGTTGCCTACTTCCTCAAAGCCCCAACGATGATTGCTTGCTGGCGATGCTCACACCAATATATTACAAAATGGTACCTTTCAGATTCTCTCACCATCAGTGAGTAAATTTTAATGTCATCTACTCAACGCAAATGCTTTGTGCATACATATATTTTTAGTAGAATATATTTTAGTTTAACATTAAGGTGACAGTTCCGCAATGAGAATGAAACCATATCAATTGATCAGTCTAATCACTAGGTATCAGTCTACAAACCAATGTATGTATATTTATTAGAATACTTCTTTTAAACTAAAAGTTAATGCACCGTTTATTTATTAGCTGTTGAAATTTTAAGGAAATACCTTTAGAGTATGCTAAATTTGATGAAATTTTAAAACTAATATTTCTAATGCTCCGATGACCTATGATAATCCTTTGTATTATTTCAAGTAGTTTTTCAACTTTCAATATCATTTATTCAATTGAGTACACATAAACTTCAAAATCAACAACTACAGGCCATACCTAATTAAACATTGAGTGCTGGAAAACAACCAGCCAATACATAAACCTAAAGACAACTGGATCCAATGTTTTAGTAACTGGAATCATCATCCGGTATCACTGTGAAACCGTGAAAAGCACACAACTCAACTTAATAGATTAATCAATTTAACAATTGATTGTATGTCTGCGGTAGGCTTACTGGATATATTTATAAACTATGAAAAAAATTGAGAATATGGTGAAAGGTTCTGTTTGGACACATAAATGATTTTAGTCAATTTGGTACTGTTCTAAGCTTGCATAACTTTTCCATAGGTAATTTATGCATATTGAAAATAAAATTGAATTTAATTCTGATTGAACGACTGAAAAACAGTTCTCAAGATTCAAATGAATAGATTGGTGAGTTTGTGTTATTTATTGTCTTTATTTATAGTTTATGTTTTAATATAAATGTTGGGGACAGTCAAGTTAGTTCAGGAAAGGTTTAAGTGAATCTGTATTTTATTATAATGAATTTTACTCTGTATTATCACAAGTGTAGATGATAATTGAATGTAAAGTTAAGTAGTATAATATAAAGTATAAGCATCTCAAATAACAGTCAAAACAAAAAGAAAATGGCATGCACAAGACTCTCATGCAATTATGAAATAATTATTTAATTGTCTAGTTCCTGTTTAATTTTAATATATACTTTTTTTACATTATTAACCTTGAATGAAAGAGTTTGCTTACATTGGTCTTGAGTTGATCTTTAAGCCAGGAGAGATAAAAGTGCAAATCACTTTTGTCCATCAGCTGCGGATGCCAGCAAGCTAGCTTGGCAATGATGCGAGCAGTCATGTGCTGGACAAATTCATCCTGACGGTTCAGCAAATTCAGGAAGGGCTGCCAAACGTTGCCAGAGAATTTCGTCTCACGAAATATCTTCACCCTCGATTTATCTTCCTGTAGATGTTTTTGAGTTAAATCTCTATTTAAATAGTAATTAGGAAATAGAAATTATTAGTCAAAACTGGGGAAGACAGGTTAGCTCAGGATTCCATAAGTATTCTTATAAAGATCCAAGAGCATGGCAATTCTTGGAGTTGATATGTTAGGCAATGTTTAGTATCTGATTTTATTATTAGTCTACAGAGTTGGGCATGCCCAATGTATAAATTGGGAAAAGTGATAATGGAAACCAATAGATGTTACAATATGAATACCACCACCCACCCTAATATATGAGGCCAGTCTCATTTTTATTTTTTTTAATGGAATAATCTAATCATTTAATAACTAATAATACCAATTATATTTTTGATAATTAATTTAAACAGGTACTCTAATAATATATTTTCTTCTATTTGTTCCTGTCCAAGAAATGTAAATAATCAGAGGAAAAATACATTTATGAACTAGTACCACCATGCAAAACACCATCATCACAAATAGCTTTTAACGAAAATAATACCAATCAATTTAAAAAGTGATACTGTATTACTTTACTCTAAAACATTATGTTTTAATGTCATGTTTATGGAACCTATTTGGGTTCTATAAAGGTGTTTTATGATATGACTTTGAATTATCTTACTTACAGAAAGAATGTCATCAATGAGCACAAGAATGTATTGAATGGTGTGGTCCTTGCTGATATGCGTCAGGAGGTTGAGAAAGACTTCGGCACAGGCATCGGGATTCTTGTCAGGCAGATCTTTTTGGCCGCGCTGGTCTAAGTTCACGATAAAATCGTGATCGCGCTGAGTGATCATCTGCGACCTAACAGATATTACATTTTATACCAGTTCACAATGTCATTTGACAGAGACCACAAGAATCAATACTCACTGCAGATATGACTGCCAGTTAATCTGAGTTTGGCGTATCTCACTTGCCCGGATCTGTAGGACGCTGGTGGCCGCAATCATGTCTGAAATATTTACCATTTGCCAAGTTTTACCGAGATGAGAATTTTTGTATTGTATAGTTTTCCAGGCTGAACTTACCGATTTTTTCGTCACCTAGCGTTGGAATTAACTGACTAACATTTTCCTCGCTAACATTAGCCATTTTGGCCAAATATATTATCGATTAAATGTTCTAAAACTGAGAAAAGCTTCAATATCTGTGTTTTTTTAGAAAAACAGACAATCCGACACTGCTCAGGTGAGAGGTCTTGTGACTGTAGGAAATGAAGTTAGTAGTTAATCTTTACAAGTAATCATTCTTACCTTCCCTTACAAACACCTTTGTGGCTGGAAAGAAAGAGACAGTAGTATAAGAAATACGGTTGTCGTCTCTGCATTTTTACAAAACTGCAACTTTTGCCAAGACATGTCAATTTTTTTTTGGTTAGTCCGCGGGACGATGAATTCTACTGACTAATGCAAGCGGAGCCCCAATAAAGAATGTTTCAAAATCGGGATTTTTTTTCCCTTTTGAGAGCTTTTACTGCGAGCGCTGCGGAAACGATTAAAGTTTCGCTAAAATAATGTATGAGAGAATTGTTCCCCTTTAAAAGATCTAAAAAAAAGTCTGCGACAGCATAAGTCTATATTATGTTAAGGTTGGCTCTCTATGGCGTTTTTTATGCTAACCAAATTTGTTCTAAAATAAAGCATTACATATTTGTGAAGGTGTTTTTACAAAGATGATATTCTACGTAAATGAAGAGGCGGGTAAAATTTAGCGTTATGCCAAAGTAACTATTCCACGCGGACGAAGTCGCGGGCAAAAGTTAGTGTATTTTAAGTTTCACTTATTGCTGGATTGCTAGTTAGTTTGACTTCTTATTGAATTATTAACCCTCAGACACAGCCCACTGAGTTTCTCGCCGGATCTTGGGTCAGTGGCTCAGTGGGTCGCGTTTCCGATCCGGTGGTAGATTCTGCGAAGCATGGCTCTTGCTAGGGTTCGTGTTAGCAACTTCGTCAGATTTGAGCCCCGTGAGCTCACCTACTAGTTAAGGTTCCGTTGAAATAGCCTCTCAAGGCTATCAGCTTAGGTAGGAATAAAAAAAAAAATTGAATTATTAAAACGGGTGGTGGCATTCACGTTGTAATTTGCATTCAGTAACCCTTCTTTAGGTGGGCCATGAGTTCCTTCAACGATATACGCAATGAGTTGCTAAATTAACTTAATTAAACGGGTATAGAGAAATAGTTCATTTAAACATATATGTAACGGTGCTTTGACTGTATAGACTATATTTCCTTTACTTCTCCAAAACAAAATCGTATGGTTCAGGGTCCCTTCAAAATGTTTTGAATCCCAATCATTCATAATGACCATACTTATCGTTTGTTTTATGTTTGAATTGAATGACTTAACTTACATTAAAGAAAGAAAAGCTTTGGATAAAAGTTAGTAAAAAATAAATAAAGATTTGGCTAAAAGACTAAATTCCAGGTCATATAAAATAAATAAAAACAAGAATTTTAAATATACCTACTTATGGCTACAATTGTCAATATCAAAGGTATGTGTGTTGGTGTGTGTGTGTACTACAACGACCATAACGATTTTAAATAAATTAAAATTGAATACATAAATAAAGTCAAATTGTATACATGTGCAAGATTGATTTTTACTCACGGTTGTACTTTTCCTCTTGGTTTTCTCGCCGCTTAACATGAGAATCCATAACGAAATAAAAAAAAAATATAAATACAAAACACTACTTTGGCTTTCCTATCAATTACTCTAGTTACATATTATAATGTTAAAAAATTTGTTGTAGAAACATATTTTGCGTTATTGACGCGTGGAATCGTGACATTCGGCTGTAAATAAAATTTGGGAACTGGCCAGTTCTTTTGTCATGACTACTTTACAATCAGAAAATTGTCAAACTAATGACTTAAATGACTTATTTCCGATGTCTATTGAATCGTTGCGGTTTCCATTAGATAACTCGATACAAATTATATTTACTGGGTACTACAATGGTTACAATGTTGAAGTGAGGTCACCTGAAGAAATTACTCTTTTGTATCACATGGGCTGTTTTGGGAAGGGATCTGCCTCGAGGTCACGACCCGCACTTGTAAACAGTGATCGTTATCCAGAAATAATAAGGAAAAGGCAATATTTACAAAGGAACAATTGGTACAAAAAATTTGGTGATAGTGGATGTACACTGGTTTCAAGTACTCTTTTGAAAGAATTAGATGAGTTGACGGCCAAAATTGTCAGTGATGGTGAAAAGTTAAAGAAAAAAGACATAATAGATCTAGTATCCAGCGATGAAGAGTTTAGTCATGATGATGTAGACACAGAGAATGCTGTCAATCAATCTTTTTCTACTAGCGAAAAAGATGAAATTACAGTAGTAATACCTAATAGTGATTCTGAAGAAGAAAATTATTTTGCGGCACTAAAGCCACAATGCTGTGTAAATAAAATTAAAATGCAAGAAAAATTAATATTAACTCCAGAAGAAGCATTCTTCTTAGCTTATGGACTTGGAAGTTTACAAGTAGTATACAATAATAATATTTTAGATTTAGAACAGTGTTGGACATTACTTTGTTCTAATGATAGACATTTTGTGGACAGATATGTAGTTTATCATTATTTTAGATCAAAAGGATATGTTGTGAAACCAGGGATCAAGTTTGGAGGAGACTTTTGTAAGAATTTTTGTTTATACTGGATATTACCCAAACATCACTTGACAAGCCAATGTAGTCCACAAATCTGACCACAAATCTTAAAACTAATATTTTATTCATAATTTTTACTCATTTAATTTAATAAAGGATTAACTTAAAGTAAATATTTGCATCAATGTTCTTTATCATCTAAAAAAATTTGTTCACTAATTATTCATACTTTGAATTATTTTCATGTAATAGGATAGGTATCTTCAGTTGAATTAATTGGTTTATTGAATATTTATTGGTTGCAGTACTGTACAAAGATGGCCCTGGCATAAGACATGCAGACTATATCATTGTTATAAAGTCTGATACAAAACAAGACGACTTAATTACTATTCTCGGTCATGTAAGAGTAGCCACAACTACTGTTAAGGTAAAAAGTATTTTGTTTGTATATATATTTTTGTAAGAATTAAATTGCCAAGTTCCCAATGAATTCATTATGGTGCTTGTTAATATTGGATATTTGCTTGTAGCAGCGATTCTAGTATAGTGGTACAAATTCCTGTACGTGTCCTAACAGCAAGACAAAGCCCACAGAGTTTCTCGCCAGATGTTCCCAGTGGGTCGCAATTGTGAACCGGTGATAGATTCTGCGAAGCACTGTTCTTGCTAGGGCTAGTGTTAGCAAATTCTCTCAGGTTGAGCCCATGAGTTCACCTAGCCGTCCGGGCATAGCTGGAATAGCCTCTTAGGCGATCAGCAAAAAGAAAAAAAAAGGTGCTCAAGAATCACATATAATACAAGACTAGGCCAAAGGCTAGTACTGCAGTCCTTTAAAAAAAACAAAAAATTTTAGAATAAAAATTTTTTTTTTGTCATTACACACTTTTTCATATTCAGTAAATTTTCTCCAACACTATATTATTTTACTATACAGTCCATTCCTTCATTATTATCTTTACATTGACTAGTAGGTGATCAGCTGCTTAGTCTTGATGTAATAATACTTAATCTAAAAAATGGCCCCTTATGTAAGGGGTATAAGGTATTTACTCTAGTATATTTAAATAATATTCACCGTTGAATGTTTTGCTTTCTTGGGGATATCAAACTTGAAGTTTATTTTCCATTATAACATGGAAGAAAAACATGGTGTATGCCAAGTATGTCTTTTGCATTTACAATCAGCTACAAACATGGCCAAAAGAGTTACATCTTGTTTATAAAAACAACATAACTTTAGTACTTCATAGTCAATCATTCATTTATAACAACAGCAATATAATTAGTCAAGATGGATTCTTTGGAGTTTGTCATAAAATTTATATTTCTTTATATTAAAGACTTTATACACTGTGGATTTCTAGCACCTCTGTTAAAATTCATAAACTTAGTTATTTGTTTTAATGATTACATAAATATTTTGGAAAAGTAATTGTCAGGTTATTTTTCAGGAAATATTGTTGGTTGAAGTTTTGAAACCTAATGGAGTAACCTCGAAACTACCAGAAAGTCTACATTTATACCATGTTAAGGAGGTATTATTGACACGAAACATTCCAATGACAATAAATAATGATGATTAAATATTTTATTTTTATTAACACTAACTACTATTATGAGTTTAAATTATGCTCTTCTTATAGCTTTCTTAACTCCTGTTCTTCTATATTCACTTCTTTCTTTCAAATATTCCTCAGTGCATATCTTTTTGAATTCTTCATTATTGTACCAATTTGATAGACAATCCTTTAAAGCTGCATTGGGTGATCTGCATTTAACCACCATTAATAATGAAGCATCTTTGCAACATTTTTCAAATTGAGCTACTTCTTCTATGCATTTTTCTTGTTTAGCCTTTTCTCTGATAAGTTTTGGTATCATAACATCTATTTCAACTTTTCTGAGTCTTCTATCATCAGGATCGCCTGTAATTATAGATTAAGATTCAGTTATGATGCGTGTTTTCATATAGGCTTTTTATCAGACCAGCATTTATACAAATTATAAAATACCTAGGCCTTTTGGACCAGCCGAAAAAGTTGGCGGTAACACAGATTTTTCTGCCGCCATTACTGACAGCGACTATTTGTGTAAAATTGTATACGGTAACGGAAAAGTAATTGATTTTAATTTTTTCGTATAAGATTGTAGACAGATTGTAGACACCTTTTTACTTTATTTACAAAGCATGTTAAAAAAACTTATGTGACGGCAGACTGACAAGTGACCAGTGTGACCAGATTTCGTTTGACGAATCTACTGCTTGTGGAGGTTAAAATCTACTGAATTCTACCAAAAGAGAACGAGAAATACAAAAAATCAATTATACTTTTTTTTTGCTGTCGTGTTACAACGTAAAACGAGAATGTTTCCTTGATCAAATAATAGAATAATAATAATAACAAAGAAACCACCATTAATTCAAGAGACCAATGTTCTTTTTTTTTAATTAAATTCAAAATAAAAAAATAATAAAAAAAAATAATAATAAAATGAAACTTAAACTTAAAATTCTTCGTCTTTATGTTGGGTAACATTTTCATAAAGTTGTTTTGAATCCATTAACATGATAATACTTCTGTCAGGATCAAATGTGCGACATCCTCCTACTAACTGTCGTAGCCCCTCTTTTCCATGCATTATTGCAGCAACATTATTATTAAATCAATTTCGATCTTGATTTTAAACCTATTAATATTAGAAAATATTCTTTCTATTTTGGCGTTTGACAAAGGTAGTATCGTCATTTGCTTCACAATTCGGGACAAATTGCTATACCTTGGCTTGCTATTCGCATCACAGATTTGACTGTCATCACTCCAAAATTTATCCACCATAAAAGATTCAGACGTCGAACAAGAAGTTGACAACAAATTGGACACGGAAACATCTAATTTTAATTATATTCTTTGTCAACAATTTGCATGTTTTCTGTTACAACTACAAGGATATCGTGATGAATGGGACATCGCGATATCCTTGTGTATATTTATGTTTCATTTTAAGCTCCCGAAATATCCCGAATGTATCCAAAATGCCAAAAAAGTACTAGATTACCTGAAAAGAGTGAATTCTACTAAAATATACCAAATAATTTTTACATACTAAATTCTGTTGCCAGTACCTCAGAATCTACCAAAAAAGTAGAAATCTACTAAATCTGGTCACGCTGCAAGTGACAGTATTGAATGACATTATTGACGCGTTTGTGTTTACTTTTCCTATACTGGAAAGGCGAATGAATCATACCAAATGCTCTTGTCTGTCTTTTATTATTTTGTAAAAGGCAAAATGAATTTACCTTACGGTAATTGTAGCAAACATGCCATTGGCGTCACCCTTTTCAGAAGGTTCCTCGTGGCTGTGCTCATTATACATATCAAGACTCTGAAATAACGTGACGTTTTATTATTTTTTTATTGCCCTCGTAGGCAGACCAGCATACGGTCCACCTGATGATGAGTCGTTACCATCACCCATGGATGTCAGCAATATCAGGGGCAGAGGCAAGCCGCTTTCTACCGTTAAGTACTCTACACAAGCCTCGTTTGAAGAAGGACATGTCATACCACTCGGAAAACATTTAGAAGGGCTCATTCCAAAGCCGGATGGTACATGGCAAAAAAATGTCTAGAAGCGCAATGTGGATGAATTTTACTCCGGTGGTAGGTGGTAAAAACAAGATGATGGGATCACCTCAAACAATTTCTCAGAGCACTTCCCATGGAACATATAAAATACAGAGAGAACCGAACGTTCGAAGGAAAGTTCCAGGAGTCAGAAGTTCCAAACGATCATTAGATTAGATTATAGTTGTTTGTGTATTAATTGAAAAACCCAGTATTATATGCAGAACTACGGAAAGACAGCGTCACTATCGACTATATCCCTAAAATAAAGATTAAAATAAAAAGTAGGTTAAAGTGAACTGGAGCTTAGTGAAATGAAGTTTTGCCAATCTAAAAGCCGAATGATCATGATTACAGAATGAATATATCGAGATTTTAACGATTTTAGAAAAATAGATACAGATACCTACTTCTTTCCTATTCATTCCAAATTAGACCTCTGCCCGTTTAATTGACACATCTCCGGTCAACGTTCGCTTGCGACGAAGGGCTCCAGTAAATTAATCCACAGACACAGCTCACTGAGTTTCTCGCCGGATCTTCTCAGTGGGTCGCGTTTCCGATCCAGTGGTAGATTCTGCGAAGCACGGCTCTTGCTAGGGTTCGTGTTAGCAACGTCGTCAGGTTTGAGCCCCGTGTGCCCACCTACTAGTTAAGGTTACGCTGAAATAGCCTCTCAAGGCTTATCAGCTTAGGTAAGAAAAAAAAGACATCGAATTGTACGTTGAAACGTTCGGAAATTGATAGAGGAAGTTTCGCGTTGAACCTAGAATTTTTTTAGGGTGTCATTTTATTTTTATAAATATCCTGGACCATACTGTGATTTTTTTTTTGTTTACTTGAAGAAAAAAATTTATTTTCTCAGCTTAAGCTGAGAAAATAATTTTTTTCTGAATAAGATTTCTCTTTTTCAAAAGGTTCACATGATTAATGAACGGAAGTAAGACATGAGAAAGCATTTTCTGCGTGAGTTGAGTAAATGTCATTTTGTCAAACTAGTAGTCAAGTCACCCGAGGTTCATACTAAACTGATTCTTTGCATTACTGTGTTTTTTATATGTTATTTCTATTGTGAAATTTAGCTAGAAGAAAAACACTTGATTAGATGTAAGTAGCTACAAGAAAAAAAATTGGAGTCCTGCACAACTTTGGGATACCCACCGCATCATTGTTTCGATTGCGCTTTCGGTGGCGATATGAGTACTGTTATGTTTTATATGTTTTGCAGTGTGAAAGTTAAGAGGTAGAAACTGAAATGGATCGTCTTCTTCGTCTTGGTGGTGGAATGGCGGGCTTATCACAGGCGCCACCTCCTACCGATGCTCCAGCAGTAGACACCGCGGAGCAAGTGTACATCTCTTCCCTAGCACTTCTTAAAATGCTGAAACATGGACGTGCTGGCGTTCCTATGGAGGTTATGGGTCTCATGCTCGGTCAGTAAAACAAGTTTTTCATGAAATTATTATGATTATAAACTTGGTAAATTAAATTAGATCTGTAACAAAATGAGAATGCATATTCATTAAAATCACAAAATTCTATTTTTAGTAGTAGAAGTCGGTCTTAGTGACTAAAGTATTCAACCAAATGTACGATTTTATGTTGCCTGTATTTGTGGAAATTCTAAAGAAAATATTTTATTTCAGGAGAGTTTGTAGATGACTATACAGTTCGAGTTATTGATGTATTTGCTATGCCACAAACTGGGACTGGAGTATCTGTAGAGGCTGTTGATCCAGTCTTCCAAGCTAAGATGTTGGACATGTTGAAACAAACAGGACGACCCGAAATGGTTGTTGGATGGTTAGTGTCTTTAAAGTAAATTATACAAAATAAGAATTACAATAATATTGAAAAGAAATAAGTCAACATTGCACAATGACATTCAAAACAGATTATTATTTTAGTTTTTATAATACTTAATCAACTTTGTATGTCTAAGATGTTAGTTTTCTGTTAAGATATATGGCAAAATATATTGTGGTGCTAAGGTGTCTTATGAGCTTGCTCTTATAAATGAAGTACCACTACCCTACTTATCTTCTACAATGATGCAGCGTTGACTTTAGGTTTAAAGGATGGGGACAATCTTTTCACCATACAATTGGGACATAGACCTCATGTCTTAAGGTGGGTGGCAGTTTTGACATAATTACTTCTAAGCTTTTTTATTATTATTGCTTAGACGGGTGGATAAACTCACTCCGCACCTGGTGCTTCGTGGTTACTGGAGCCCATAGACATTTACAATGTAAATGTCACCATCTTGGTTTGCATACATAAACTTAAAGTAAATTATAAGAACTTTACTAATTTATGTAGAATATAGTATTCTGCCCATAGCATAGGTTTTGACACTGGATAGTTGTTACTATTGTGATGTTCATTGTTCAACATTGATTTACAGGTATCATTCACATCCTGGCTTTGGTTGTTGGTTATCTGGTGTGGATATCAACACTCAACAGTCATTTGAAGCATTATCGGAACGTGCAGTAGCTGTTGTGGTTGATCCCATCCAGTCGGTAAAGGGTAAAGTTGTGATAGACGCGTTCCGCCTTATCAACCCAAATATGATGGTACTCGGACAAGAGCCCAGACAAACCACCTCAAATCTCGGGCACCTCCAGAAACCATCTGTACAAGCTCTTATACATGGATTAAATCGTCACTACTATTCAATTAGTATAAATTATAGAAAGAACGAGTTGGAACAAAAAATGTTGTTGAATTTACATAAGAAGTCCTGGATGGATGGACTAACTTTATCTGACTACAAAGAGCATTGTTCTGTTAATGAGTCCACAGTTACCGACATGCTGGAATTAGCTAAAAACTATAATAAGGCTTTAGAAGATGAGGAGAAGATGACTCCAGAACAATTAGCCATTAAGAATGTAGGCAAACAAGATCCTAAAAGACATTTAGAGGAGAAAGTGGATGTGCTCATGGCCAACAACATAGTCCAGTGTCTAGGAGCTATGCTTGACACTTTGGTATTCAAATGATTTTTGATGTGACAGACAGTATATACAATAAGTCTTAAAATAACTAGGATGGTTATCTTTAACACGTCTCATGGTTTTCTAATGTAAAAATAACTGTACTATTTTACTGAATTGTACCTAAAACACTAAATAAAAGTCTTTATTAGTGATAAAATTTATTAATTAAACAATTTTTGTGCTCCTATTTCATTTTGAATTTTTATTAGTCTCTTTTTAACTGTAGGATAGTACTTTAAATTTGTGAAATCTATGTCAAACATTGGTTGTTGATTCTTTTGAGAGTTGACAATATTACGAATGATAGATTTCAATTTTTGAAATGCTTCTTCATTATCGTCCACTACGATCTGATGAGTAATAAAACATAATATATGCACATGTATAATATTTTCATCATTAAGTTCTGCAAATATCAAGGCATCCGCAATCAAGACACTTAAAATCAACAAAAATTATCGTCAATCGGAGAAATTGCCATTTTCGTACTGAGGACAGACATTTCAAGGCAATCGGAGCTTTGCTGATGTAATGCTGCTGTGAATCAGTCATGAGCGCGATCGGTAACTACTTAAGGTGGAAAGTAAATTAACCCATACTCCTATTATAATAAAATCTTATTGTAATTAAAACAAAAAAACTCGATTTGTGCAGTGCCAATGCTCTTAATTAAATATAAAGAAAATAAGTAATAAGGTGGTGTCTGGGCTAAAGGCATTGTAAAAAAATGGGCAATCCAAAAAAAATCGGATGGATTTCGTAAGTTCTAACAGACATTATGTAAGTAAGTTCTGGATCTAGGGTATGTACATTACAAGGTTGTTGGTTTGTATACATACAGTGTCCCAGAAAAGACCTGGACATTTTCGATGGATTTCATCGTAATCATCTCTTATATTTGTTGTAAAAGATTCGCTGGGTATCTGTGAAACAAACATGTATTGTCAGGAAAACGGTTCTTCCTTAAACACAGCAAAATATCAATAGTTACTTTTTCATAAAAATCCATTTGATGAATTATTGAATCTGGATTATCGATTTTGGTATCGTTTCGTTGCACCGTTTCCGCTGTAAAAATATGAGACAAGATTATTATAATATACTAGCTGACCCGGCAGACTTCGTAGTGCCTCAATCGATTAATAAAGGACCTAAAATTTTGTATAAAATAAATTTAAAACAAAAGGAATCCGTCCGACGCGGGCCACATCAAATTATAAACAAATTTACTATATTTTTTTAATTCCGAGCATTTTCATATTTATCTTTTTAAACCTTCTCTGGACTTCTACAAGCCCTTTTCGAGTTTTAGCGAGACTAACGAACAGCAATTCATTTTTATATATTATTATATAGATACTCTCATAGAAGCGATTATTATTAAAATATACACTCCGAATTTGGAATTTGGCTACCTTTTATTATTAACTGAAGTTTTAAAATTATTATACAGTGTGGGTAGTTATTTTTTCTACAACTGCGGGTATTTATTTGTCAGCTTACTCCGAGGCGACGTGGAGCAATGTTACGCAAAACAAATTAATAGACAATACGCAAACTATATGCAACTATTTCGTAATAATCACTGCGTCAGGATCTACACTATAGCATAGTGACATGACTCCTTATGAGGACATCTGCTAAACCCTACAGCTAGTATCAAATGGTAGAAGTTCTATTGTCAAAGAGTTCAAAGGATTTTTATTAATAAATGGCAGTTTTAAATACCTACATACATACAAATGAAGTGGGAGTGAATGCTTCCGTATAACATTTTAGTACAACTATTTCACACTAATTATATGTAGTAATTCTTCAAAAAATGATATAGAGAGCGACTACGAGATTTTCTCAAAAAAAAAATTACAAACTAATATACAAAAGTTAAACTCACTATAAGAAATATTTCTTGCATCACTGGATTGCATCAGGCCTGTTTCAGTCAGAAATGCAAGCCAGAGATCTTGGTCATCGAGTGATCCGCCTGATCCGAGTCGTGGAAGAGCCCGCGCAGGCCACGGTAGTCGAGTGCTAATTGAACGTATGTTTTTTGTGTTTGCTGTGACATAGAAATTAGGAAAATGTTTGTACACAACGTTTCAGATTTTTAGATTTTGACTAAGTAGTATCCTTATTAAATTTAATAAAAATCTTACGTTACGGACGTTTTTTCCCGGTTAGGGTACCCCTCCGCATCGTTCCATAAGGAACTTCGTTCCAAAATTTGAATAGGTACTTACTAATCGTATGCCTAGAGATACTTATGTGGATGTTGAAGTTCGTGTAAGGTTGACCGAAGATTTGCCAATTGAGAGATTAAAAAAGAATATGTATCGACAATCGAATCAACCTGGCTTTTTTGTAATGTAGCCAATTACTACAATACTAATTGCTACACAAATGTAATCTAAGTATTTCTATTCTTAGCTGAATAAGTGTTTCATAACTTCGTTTCTCCAAAGCGTTTTACCTTCCTTTTCAGTCTGAGGTTCGATCAGCATTCCACTAGGGTCAACATAATTTTTGTTTTGTCCATTGTTGTTATCTTGTGAAATGAATGTTACCGATTTCGAGGATTTCGAACCGTCGGGAACGACTGACAACCCTAAAATACACGTTTTTAATGAAAAAAGTGAGATCTTAATCGTAACTCATTTTAAAAATATTAGATTCGTTCGTTGGGTTCCGTTCAATTTCCGGTAGGTGTTTTCATTTTTACCCCCCGTGGCCGTTGCAAGAATTTTGCTTTGTTTATTCTAAGTTAATTTGGACGTTGACTGATGATAATTTTATTAAAACCAATAAACTTAAATGTATAAAATAATTACAACAAAGAATTTTATGTTTCGAAGAGATGAATGCATTAAATAATCTGTATCAGTTTGAAAGTGGAGTGTAATTATTTTAAAGAGTTTTAAACCTTTTTGGTGGAAATTAAGAAATGAAGTCTTATCTCTTTTCTGCAAAACGAGTGTTAGCATAGACGGCATAGAGTGTCGACTGACAGTTGTGAATTTTACGTCATTGTTCAAAACAGTTTGCTTATCTCTCCACATGAAACGAAGACCCATAAAAGTTCCATAGTTATCAACAGATAGATGTTTTCGTTGATCGGCTAATTATAGGTTTGTTTTGTAAAAATTACTCAGATTGAGTTTTAAATTGTTGTTTTAAATTGATTTTATATACCTAGTAATAACTTACGCAAGCTTTTAATGTAAGGATTAGGCGACATTTTAAAATAAATATTAATTTTTCTTGTAGTACCTAGTCATAAAATTCAATATTTGTGCGAATTCATAATGATTGTGCAGATTTATTTGTAGAGGTAAATAGTTTGGTTAATTACGGATGAAGTTGAGATGACCATATTACTGTTTTTTCGGGACATTTGTAATGAGCTCTTCAAGTAATACATTATTTTCAGATTACGGTGTTTCTTTAAAAACTAAATCTACTCAAGCTTGTAGTAACATGTTCATTGGTTTCACAAATCTTAGTAGTTTAATGTGACGAGATAAGATTATTTATTTCCTGAAATTTTTATCGAAATCAGGCGTTTCGGAGCATCACATGCATCTACTTTTATAATATAAACATAGATACCTTTCCAAGTAGACGATGCATATCTACTAAAATCGACACTCTTCGGGCGGTAAATACTTGGTTGTTTGTCGTTTTTAGATTTTGTTGGTTTAATTTCAGTTCTAAAATAAATGTTTTATGAATATTTGCTACTACTTCCGGTATCGAATTTATTAGGACGATTTTAGTATAGAATTAGGTCGATGCGAATACAATACAATAGTACTACAGTGATTTCCTAGTTGCATTTCAACAAACTTCGATTAAAATATGATAACGTAATATTTTTTCCCCTACCTATCCGCTGGTAACCTAGTGATTTGTTGGATCTACCACTGGATCGGAATCATAACCCTCTGAGAAAATCCGACGAGAAACTCGGTGGTTTGTCTATGGGCTACGTTGCACGTCGAACTCTCAGACTCTCGACGCGAACGGTGACCGGTGCTTGGAGAGACTAGAAGTACCGAGAGTGGATTCCTGAGGTTCCGATAAGACATGCTTAGAACGACGGTGGCTTTGCGTTGCTCCGTCGTCTGGGTCGGTTATGTAATTCGAGGCGGCCACGATAAGAGGGATATGGTGTGGCGACCCTTTTGCGAAGAAATAATAAAGTGTTAATGCTTTGCGAATTATAAGTGGTTAAGTTAATCCAACCAAACATTTCGATGAATAGTTTAAAATAACCAAACACAAACTTTTTAATTTGGCTCCGTTCTTGATAGGAACTGTGTTCGTTTTCAAAACTAAAATACTCATCTGTCCCCTGCGATTCTTTATATAAAGAATAGAGACTTTCGTTTATTTGGCTTGGTTTTTCTTGGGCTGGTTTACACGATTCCTCTGACGATGTACCACTCTGTTTACAGTAATTGTTTTTTTTAAATAGTAGTAAATACAAATTTTTACTGATTCCATATCTACTTTGATGCATACGAGGAGTAAATGGTATTTATGTATGTATTATGGCTTGAAATTTGAAAAATTAGTTATGAGGACAGTTTACATTTATGTGGCTCCCACTAAAGGCTGTCACTTAGGTGCATGGTGAAGTTTTAAAATTCCCGGCTGTCAAAGTTTGTAACTGTCCCTTTATGATTGCTCAAGGTGCCTATTTATATTATAACACACGAGACTCAGTTTTATTTAAAACTTTAAATTTTTATGACGATCAAGAAATAAATTGTTACGATTTAAATAGCAAAGCAATTAATAATTTAAAAAACAAAGCATACGGTTAATAATATATTATTTGGGCCTTGATAAATGAACTTGAAAAAAATCAGACACTTTGATCCAGTATAGATCGTTCAGATTACTCATTCGGTAATAATGAAACTGTGCTTCTTTAGCTAGGTGAAAATATATAAACACACATACAGTATATTAAGCTAAAATATTTGCACGACTTAGACTATATTTTAGAAACGTTAAATATTTCTAAAAATAATAAGCCCGTGATTAAATCACATAAGTGTTTTAATTGCGTTTGCGGACTGAAAAAAACCATATTCGAATATTCCCTGTTTTCCAATTACAGCACAAGAGCGCATTATGCGGCATAATGCTCAACGATAATATAAACAAAATTTCGATCAATGCCAAATTAAAGAAAAAAACACTTGTCAATGTTCTGTCACTGAGTCGGTATCGATTGCGAGTATCACGTGAGAGCATTACTTTTGAGAGTGCTCGATTGTGCGATGCGTTGCTGTAGTTGAAACATTCAACGTTGAGTATTATGCCGCATAATGCGCTCTTGTGCTGTAGGTAATTGGAAAACTACCGGTGACAGAAAATTGACAAGTGTTTTTTCTTTAAGTTGGCATTGATCGAAATGTTGTTTATATTATCGTTGAGCATTATGCCGCATAATGCGCTCTTGTGCTGTAATTGGAAAACAGGGATTGTTTACTTTCTCCACTATCACTATAGTGCCTAATAGATACCATGTTATTAATTATTTAATTTTTTAAAATACGAACACACGACATTAGCGTAAACGTATTGATTCCATTTGCATAGTTTCTCACGGCCTTCCTCACTTCGCTGTCCATCATTAACGAGCACTCGGATTCTATTATGAACTCGCTGTGCTCTTTCCCTTCTGGTAGGCACTAAAATCGTAAAATTCTATAGACTTTTTTTTCAAGTTTTTGATTCACCTATCCAATAACTCACGTGTAGTAGTCGCGACTTTAAGCTTTTTGAATAAACGGTTACAGGCCAACCGAAAAGGACTAGCACAGTCCTATGGCTATCTTTCTCAAGGAGCGTTGATGTCAGATATTTATACAGCGTTTTATAACATCGTGTAATAAAAATCAAACCCGCAAAATTATAATTTGCGTAATCACTGGTGGTAGGACCTCTTGGGAGTCCGCACGGGCAGGTACCACCATCCTGCCTATTTCCGCCGTGAAGCAGTAATGCGTTTCGGTTCGAAGGGTGGGGTAGCCGTTGTAACTATACTGAGATCTTAGAACTTATATCTCGAGGTGGGTAGCGCATTTACGTTGTAGATGTCGATGGGCTCCAGTAACCACTTAACACCAGGTGGGCTGTGAGCTCGTCCATCCATCTAAGCAATAAAAAAAAAAAAGATAGGCGACCGGTCGTAAAATTATAAGTCAGTTCAAATTATCACAGTGATACGTGGTGTGTTTACCTTATAAGTGGGTGAAGACTAAGTGGATGAAGACAAGTAGGTATGTAACATATCTTAACAAAATAAAGCGCTAAACATTTATAGACAAGAATACAGCCCATATTAATTTATTGCGTATCTGAATGAACAAGCTCATGGTCACTCATCTTAAGATATGAGGTCTAAATCTCAATTTGCATAACGGCTGATCAACTCTTCAATGACTGCTTTTCGGCAAAAAATAAGAAGATGCAGGGATGTTTCTTTGTGAGCTTACAATACATCCTACGGTCATTAAAAGGCAATTGTGATTTCAGGACGCTCGTACAATACTAAAAGAACGCTAATTATCATTCGCCGATGTATCCTTAGTCGTATTTTACGAAACCTACGAGAAATGGCGGTGGTGTTATTTTTAACACTAGAGAAAGAGAGAGAGAGAGAGAGAGATAGAGTGTATTCTTTATTGTACACCCAAATACAAACAGTGCGATACATTAAATACAAAAAAGTACAACTGGCGGTCTTAACTGGCGGCGCTAAGAGCGATCTCTTCCAAACAACCATCAGGTGGACAAGAATCATTTGGAAACGAACTACGCGTGGTGTACCAATCCAGTGAAACTACACTACGGTATGATGTCACAAATGCCCGGGGGGCGCACATAACCGCTGCCCGCAGATTATGTCTCTGTTAGATTATTCATTGAGTCACTACAGTGCAGTGCATTTCACCTAACATACAGTACTGCTTTATACAAACCATAATAATTTCATTCAGTATTCCGGTTATAATTATGCGTCCAGAAAGCAATACTTGCAGCGTCGATCGTTCCAAGTGATTCATCATGGAAGCTCGGTCTTGTTGGGCTGCGTCACGTGACCTTAAATGTATGTAAGTTTTGGATGTTTTTGATGTTAGAAGTGTATAAACTGTATGAATTTATAACGGTAAATGACTGTTTAAATTTCTGTAATTTTATTTATTGTAATGTATCGCATTATAAATTGAATCTCCTATCAAGAAAGTTGTTTAGTTTAATAAATTATAAAACGTTATTAAAATTCTATTTTTTTGTATGTTGCTTACGCTTTTCTCTCGAGTTGCCTCTTAGCCAAAGTCGCTTTGTCTCTGTAAGAAGCCAGAATTAAATACGGTCGCAGTCCGCGTAACTTCAGCATCAAAGCACCAAGTAAATCCATGGCTACAATTTTCACTTTACCGTCCTTCACAAAAGCTTCCTCACGACCTGGATGAAGAATTCGTTTTTTTTTATTTTATTAATACTACTTCCTACTCATTTATTGGCTTCTTTATTTTTATTTCGTTATTTGTACATCCAAGATGTGCTGTTATACTTTGCGGAAACTATTATTCTTGGAATATATTTGTGTTGTTGCCGAATACTTGCAGATATTCAATATGTTTTTTCCATGTATTACAGTGCAAACACTGCCTGCCTTCAAGCAAGATAATGTCGTTGGCAAAAAACATTAGTTTGAGGGCTTTCAGTGTGAATTATTTTTATTATAACAAGTTTTAATTTCATTCGACTTTCAAAAATACGATTAAGCAAAATAGTAAACAAGCGTCAAAGAGATTGCAGATAAATTAGACTAATGGCTCGTGCGATGGTGAGGGCGAGACGTAAGAAAGCCTAAATGCAATTTTTTATGCTCGTGACGTGAAATGTTCAAGTTGTGTTTGTCATGTAGTATGTGTGTTAACGAAGTTATATACTATACTGTACTGTGATCTACTATAATAAATGTAATTTAAATGGGATTACTTAGCCCATATGAATCGCCGTCTCGTTCACCGTAAGTCAAAAATTCACCGGCCAGCAGCATGTCGTCAAATTTGTCCCTTGAAATTTCAATGAAATTGACGGAATGATGGTTAAGCGCTGTTGTGTGTTGTTTGCCAATTTCTATGTTTGAAGGAAATTCTTTGGAAAGACGTCGCATAAAGGATCCTGTGAATTTAAAATATGAGACTGATCCAAACACTAATACTGTCCGTCTAAATTTCGTGACGAGCACACTGAAATAAACGAATTAAATGGTTTTCCGAATTCGTACAGTTCAAAATTATTCGTATTCAAAATTTAAGTTATTACTAAGGCCTATAATTTAGTGGATCAAGTATTTAGATGGCATTTTTAGATACTTTACGACTTTGAAAATGTATTTATAATATTATAACAGAATGAGCTCCGTCATTCACTATCTGTCCGGAGCGCTAGAGAAGCGGTAGCCACTACTTTTGTCATTGGCCACTTCGATAAAGCGGCACGACACGAGAACCCTCTCATCGTGGCCGCCGGTAACTACATTCCCGATCCTGGGGAAAGAATGGAAAGCAGTCGACGTCGCCCCAAACACGTCATTTCAGATCCTCCCGATCCACTAACGGTGCTTTTAGGTACCTCAAGCACCGGTCACCGTTCTCGTCGAACCCGTCGCTTGCGTCGAAGGGCTCGACGAGTAAATTAACCCTCAGACACAGCACACTGAGTTTCTCGCCGGAACTTCTCAGTGGGACGCGTTTCCGATCCGGTGGTAGATTCTGCGAAGCACGGATTTTGCTAGGGTTCGTGTTAGCAACGTCGTCAGGTTTGAGCCCCGTGAGCTCACCTACTAGTTAAGGTTCCGCTGAAATAGCCTCTCAAGGTTATCAGCTTAGGTAGGAAAAAAAAATTGTAATTGGCCTTGTCAGCAGATTGTTTGAGCAATTATTGTGAGGCCTATGTCCAGCAGTGGACTGCTATAAGCTGATGATGATGAGGCAACACAACAGTCTTACCTTTACCAACAGCTTCGTATCCCACTAGAACTACAATAGATACATCTGTGGTATCTGCGAAGGGTACAAAAGGAGACACACGAGCTCTTGATAACTGTTCGATGTACAATAAACGAAGAAGACGCCTCAGAGCGAATGTGGTTACGTCAGGGGTCATTTCCATTTTTAAAGTACGCTGGTAAATATTTAATGAAAAGTGAGATTAGTGATATGACCGTTGAGTAATATGAATTTAATTATGAAAGTGAATTCAAACAATTTTGAAAACACTTTTTTTATTGCTTAATTGACTGGACGAGCTCACAATCCACCTGGTGTTAAGTGGTTACCGGAGCCCATAGAAATCTACAACGTAAATGCGCCAACCATCTTTGGATATAAGTTCTAAGGTCTCAGTATAGTTACAACGGCTGCCTCACCCTTCAAACCGTAACGCATTACTGCTTCAAGGCAGAAATAGTCGGGGTGGTGGTACCTACCCGTGCGGACTCACAAGAGGTCCTACCACCAGTAAAAAGCGGAAAAGAGAATACACAATTTTTATCTACTATTATTGTTTGTCAAGTATGAATTCCATTAGACTACATTTAACTACAAAGAAGAGAAATTTCTATCGTTGCTTTGTTATTTCCGATACAAGTAACAGAAGCAGCATTCAATTGTGTTTGTGCTGAGAATAAAATAAATAGTCAACAAAGAAACCTGTTCAATTGGATCCAGCTCTTCAGCATCCAAGCTCATTAGGGCTGGAAAGGTATTGACTGTGACGTCTTTATACCCGGGAGATGAACAAACTGGGTTGGCACGTAGATCCAATACTATTAATCGCCGCAGCTGCCGCATGTACACGGCTAGTTCTAATAGCATGCTAAGGCGATTGTTTCGGACGTGCAGCTCTCGAAGCCTAGTAGTTTATGTAAAGCAGATAATAGAGTTTGTTATTTTAATGTTGTAAGATGCATTTGAATATTCTATCATCACGAAAGTAGTATTGCTGAGGCTGAGCAAAATTTAGTTCTAATAGCTCTAGTTCATTTATTACGCATAATACTGTTTCATCATTCTGTATTTATATAGTTCATATATATTAAATGATAAATTGTAGCCATATTGTTTCGATCTTTTATTTTATATTTTCAAACGGAAACTTAAAATTCTGTTGGTATTTCAGAGCTCTCTATTATAGTATAATTAAATTACAGCGGGTGTGAGTAGATCAAATAAATTCGTGAATATCAATTGTCGGGCAACTCGCATGGATGCACGGCGAGGATTTAGTGATTGTATTAAATTGTTGAATTCACAGTGAAATTAAAATCAAATGACGAACTTTATTTAACATTAGGAAAGGCGGTTCAGAAATTTAACCAATCTAAGTAAATCTAATACATTAAATTTATTAAACAGTTTATTTTTATAAAAAAGTAAACCTGTATACAGGGAATATCTTCATCACGATTAAAGTAATTCGGTTGCATTTAATATTATTACAGCAATCAGGAGGAAAATTACATAAATGTAGGAAAATAGAAAGCTACTAATAGCTGCGAATGAAGTATAAAAAAATAGGAGCAATAAGTCGTCCGTGTTACATATTCGTAGTTTTGTTTCTAATGTTGTTTTTCTAATTACCTAGAGCATGCTGTAAACATTTTCATTGAACTTAGACTATTTTCATTCAGGTTAAGGTATTCAAGGTGCAAAAGGGTCCACAGTCCCGAGCGTGGTCCTAACTCGAAACTTGATATGTTATTGTATGAGACATCCAACCAAAGGAGATTGAGATTATTCAAATTTTCAAGCCGCTGTATATGATTGAAGGAAAGATCTAAACGTCGCAAGCATCTGAAATATACTTTTGAAATTAATTTGGAAGTTAGCAGTGCTAAAATTAATTAAAACAATGGCTGTTTTCCACGAACCGTCGTGTTATGTTCGCTTTCAAAATACATTGCTACCGGTGAAGTGATTAAGGTACCTTAAGTTTTGCAGACCGCTAATACTCTTGATATTATTATGAGATAGGTCCAGTATTGTTATAGACCAGAAGGCGCTCAAATCATTGATTTTTTTAACTGAATTAAATTTATAATGTACTTCCGTTAAGAACCACTGTGCTGTAAAAATAATAACAGTCATAAAACAGGAAGCGATAACATTCGTTTTGATAGATAGATATTAAAATATTTACGAGCGTCATATTCCAAGACTGTGCTTAGCCTGTTAAAGGATACGGAGAGGTATTGAAGGTATGGCAAGTGAGATAAGACGTTCAGTTCCACTAAATAGTTTGAAGAGAGATCAAGGTACACCAAATACTTATAATGCTCCAGCACTTCGATATTGACGAGATGCTAAAAAGAAAGTAAACGTCAAATATTAAAAAAAATATATTAAAATAAGGATTTTATAAGGAATGCGGAGCAGTGATAACCTTCGAGGAGAGATCCAATTTTATATAAACGAAGTCTCCCAATATAGGAATTCGTTTCAAATATGTGAGTCTCGGGGCGATTGCCTCCCGTGTGAGTACACCGCCGACAATCTCTGGTTCTTCGTCGTCACTGTGTACATGTACCACCGGTGAATACACATCGGCGTATAGCTCCGGAAACGTGTAAAAACATCCCCACAGTTGATCTTCATTCATCAACTGAGTGACGTTAATCGGAAACTGAAAATCAAAGGTGCTGTTAATATTGATTGGTATGAAAATTTCTTAAACAAAATTTAATTGATCCGAAAATTTGGATTGTGGAAAATGTTTTAGAAATACTAGCTATGGAAAACCTTTTTAGTTATGAAATCTGCCTACTCAAAGGAAATTTCTTACTCAAAGGAGGTGGTTGACCGACGGTCACTCTTTAGTCTATAATTTTTAGGAAAAATATTTTTAAAAAGATATTATATTTACTCGGTGATAAAATATATTACGGTAGCATAAAGTTAAGCTTGAAGTAAATAATAGTATTCATCATCATTTCAGCCTATCGCCGTCCACTGCTGAACATAGGCCTCTCCAATAGATTTCCAGTGTGACCGGTCCATTGCCACCTGCATCCAATGAGACCCAGCGCTTTTTACTAGGTCGTCGGTCCATCTAGTAGGTGGCCGTCCCACACTGCGCTTGCCAGTACGTGGTCGCCACTCCAGGATCTTTCTGCCCCATCGACCGTCCTCTCTTCGTGCTATGTGGCCGGCCCATTGCCACTTCAGTTCACTAATTCTACGGGCTATGTCAGCAACCTTCGTTTTTCTACGGATCTCCTCATTTCGGATTCGATCACGTAGAGAAATGCCGAGCATAGCCCTCTCCATAGCTCGCTGCGCGACTTTGAGCCTTCTAAAAAGATCCCTAGTGAAGCACCACGTCTCCGAGCCGTAAGTCATCACTGGTAACACACATCGGTTGTACGCCTTTGTCTTAAGGCACTGAGGTATTTTGGACGAGAAGACGTTGTGCAGTTTACCGAACGCTGCCCAGCCGAGTTGGATCCGTCTACTGACCTCTCTCTCAAAGTTGGACCTACCTAATCGGACTGCCTGTCCTAGGTATATATATTCGTCAACAACTTCAAGAGTAGAGCTCCCA